TGTTTCAACAACACAATGGTGAGGCTGCGGGAAGGGCCAGATGATGGGGGTGGGGATGGTGGTCTAGACTAGACATCACGGCTGGATTACTGTAATGCACCCTGGGAAGTGTTCGGAAACTTCAGTGGGTTCAAAACACAGCTGGCACCTTCTCTGTGGCTGCTCCCAGAGACTCTGGAACTCCCTCCCACTGGAGGCCCAGCTGGCCCCATCTTTGCTGTCCATTCGCAAGCAGGCGAAGACCTGTCTTTTCAGGCAAGCTTTCCCTTAATGACGGGCTGCCTGTGTTGGATTTTTTTAATGGTTGGCTGTGCCCCTACTGCTTTGAAGGGAAGGACCCGGCCATTCTTTGGCTTCCTTTATGTGCCGTGCCAGTTTCTCCAACTCTGCCGCCTCCCCTTTTCTCTCCCAGGGTCAACACTGTGAGAAATGCCAGCCCCTCTTTGTGGGCTCCGCCCTGAATGGGGGCTCCTGCCGGCCCTGCCACGCCTTCTGCCGAGGGAACAGTAACGTGTGCATCACGCGTGAAGAGTACGAGCGGGCACGCCGAGATCCTGCCCGCTTCCCCCTGGAGCCGGCCTTGGTGAGTGCGAAAGAGCTGGGCAAGGCTTCAGGGAACGACTGATCATGAACCTCGGAGAGGCGCCTCTGGGTGGGTGGCGTGTGTCAGGTCCAGGCCGTTGGGTGGGACTTGGTGCCTCTTTTTGTTTTAAACCATGTAATGTGTGTTAAGAACTTTTGATTGCGTGGCGTAGAAATTGGGAATTACAAGGGCTCTGATAAAGGACCCTTTGTGTGTGATTCAAATTCAAAATTGTATTTTGTCATAATTCCTTTTAACAGGTCAGAAAATAGAGAGATGAGCACTTGGCTGCAGTTTAACACCATGACCCGTGTGTTCTTTTTGTCTAAATTTGGGGGGGAAGCAAGGGACGGACATCCAGCTGTTGAAAAATAGCTGTGATTTCAAGCTCTCCGATTTCTGTTTTCCACCCTTACGTTTTGAAGTTCGTCTGTTTCTGTGATGGCTTGAATAGCTGATGTTTTGGAGGCAAGAAGGCCCTCTTGGGATTGTACTGAAGTGCAAAGAGTGGAAATGGGATGATGGTTTTAGGGAGTTTCTTTCTATTCCAGGAAATGGCCAAAGGCCATGCCTTTGGTACCACGTTTTCAGGGAGACAAGTCATCATCATCATGTTGTCTTGTCTACCTGGGGGCTGGAGGGGGAGGGATATGGAGGAGTGGGAGGAAGAGAGTGCCCTTATTCTGCTCTGCTCCCCCTTTCAATCCTCACCTCTCCACAGATCCCCAAATGGGTGGCCGAGGGCCCAGCTGAGGATGTTGCCGTGTGCGTGAACTGCCAGAACAACAGCTTCGGGGAGAAATGCGAGAGTTGTCTGCACGGGTACTTCCTGCTGGAAGGAAAATGCACCAAGTAAGGACTTTATGTGGCCAGAAGGGAAACGCTAGGCATGAGATTTGCCCAAAGGAGCCGTAGTATGTGTATCGACATGAAAGCTTCCCCCACAACCGGCATGCCGTCCTTTTTTTTTAAACTGTTGCATGACTTGGTTCACTTCCACATCCTGCTTTGTATCTGAACTTACATGTTGCCCATATCCCTTCTGCCATTTTAGTTTGGGAGTTGGGAAAGAGTCGGGATCAAGAAAGAGCCCCTCTGCCCTTGTCTAGGACTCTGTGCTATTCAGACCTGCTACTTAAGCAAGCTGGCTGAGCTGTGTTCTACTGGGGTTTGCATGGAAAGGACCCCATATGTTTGCATCTACAGATGTTTCAGGCCCCTGATAAGGAGAGGATTTCTATGACCTTTCACATTTTCTCTGCAACCTAATTTAAACCCATAAGCAAGTTCAAACATGTTTATGAGTAACCTGGCCTTTCTCCCCAGACGGCTCATAAACACGTTCAGACCCACCCATAAGCTCAAACATAGGTTGCAGGAAAAAATATGACGTGTCATAGGAACCCACACCTTACAGATGGTATATTAACTGGTGTGTTTTTGGAAGCCCATGTACACATTCAGTTCTCTTGGTTAGTGACCGTCTGCCCCATGTATGCTCTGTCTTATCTGTGTTTGCAAACTCCCAGGTTATTATTAAGTAGTTACTGCATTCCTTAATGTTTTCATTTGCATCTTCATTTTTGCAATAGAATTCCAAGTGTATACAAACCACTTCCATACTTTTATTTTGGGGGGGGGGCAGCTTCTCTTTTGCTTCAAGAGTAAGAGGCAAAAGACCCAAGTTTGCTTTGTGAAGGAATGGCATGTGGCTCATGTTCTCTGTCAGGGGATGCCAGTAGCCACGGATCCTTGACCTCCAGGTTGTTTTGCACGGGACGGTCACACGTGGCTGCCTGCAAATGCGTTGCTCCTGAACGAGCCCATGTGCGCAAGAGAACAGTTTTGATCCTGCCGGCCCTTTCCTTGCAGCGCGACGGGGCTGTGCAAGCCTGTGTGTGAGCAGGGCTGCGTGAACGGGACCTGCGTGGAGCCCAACGCCTGCCAGTGCCACTTCGGCTACGTGGGCCAGAACTGCTCCCTCGAGTGCCAGTGCAACAAGCACAGCAACTGCCAGAGTGTGGAGGCTCAGGACCAGTGCTTGCAGTGTTTCAACAACACAATGGTGAGGGTGCGGGGAGTGCCAGATGATGGGGGTGGGGATGGTGGTCTAGACTAGACATCACAGCTGGATTACTGTAATGCACCCTGCGAAGTGTTTGGAAACTTCAGTGGGTTCAGAACACAGCTGGCAGGTTGCTACGTAACTGGGGCCGGCCACAGAGATCAGAGGGACTCTCTTTTACGGCAGTTCCACTGTCTGCCAGTTTGTTTCTGGCTGAATCCAAAGCGCTGGTTCTAAACGATAAAACCCTAAATAGTTTGGGTCCAAGCTATCTCAGGGACCGTGTCTCCTTTGATCAGGGGAGGCCTTTCTCTCAACCATACCACCCTCACAGGAACACTCAGTGGGGACCTGGGAGAGGGGCCTTCTCTGTGGCTGCTCCCAGAGACTCTGGAACTCCCTCCCACTGGAGGCCCATCTGGCCCCATCTTTGCTGTCCATTCGCAAGCAGGCGAAGACCTGTCTTTTCAGGCAAGCTTTCCCTTAATGACGGGCTGCCTGTGTTGGATTTTTTTAATGGTTGGCTGTGCCCCTACTGCTTTGAAGGGAAGGACCCGGCCATTCTTTGGCTTCCTTTATGTGCCGTGCCAGTTTCTCCAACTCTGCCGCCTCCCCTTTTCTCTCCCAGGGTCAACACTGTGAGAAATGCCAGCCCCTCTTTGTGGGCTCCGCCCTGAATGGGGGCTCCTGCCGGCCCTGCCACGCCTTCTGCCGAGGGAACAGTAACGTGTGCATCACGCGTGAAGAGTACGAGCGGGCACGCCGAGATCCTGCCCGCTTCCCCCTGGAGCCGGCCTTGGTGAGTGCGAAAGAGCTGGGCAAGGCTTCAGGGAACGACTGATCATGAACCTCGGAGAGGCGCCTCTGGGTGGGTGGCGTGTGTCAGGTCCAGGCCGTTGAGAGGGACTTGGTGCCTCTTTTTTTAAAAACCATGTTATGTGTGTTAGGAACCTTTGATTCGTTCCTGTATTTGTGTTGCGTAGAAACTGGGAATTGCAAGGGCTCTGATATAGGACCTTTTGTGTGTGATTCAAATTTAAAGTTGTATTTTGTCATCATTCCTTCTAACAAGTCAGAAAATAGAGAGATGAGCATTTGGCTGCAGTTTAACACTATGACCCGTGTGTTGTTTTTGCCTAAATTGGGGGAGGGGGGGAGCAAGCAAGGGACGGACACCCAGCTGTTGAAAAATACCTGTGATTTCAACCTCTCCGATTTCTGTTTTCCACCCTTATGTTTTGAAGTTTGTCTGTTTCTGCGATGGCTTAAATAGCTGGTGTTTTGGAGGCAAGAGTGGTCGCAATGACCAGATAGGCGGGGTATAAATAGAATACATAAATAAATAAAAATAAATATATTCTTGGGATTGAAACTGGGATGATGGTTTTAGGGAGTTTCTTTCTATTCCAGGAAATGGCCAAAGGCCCTGCCTTTGGTACCACGTTTTCAGGGAGACAAGTCATCATCATCATGTTGTCTTGTCTACCTGGGGGCTGGAGGGGGAGGGATATGGAGGAGTGGGAGGAAGAGAGTGCCCTTATTCTGCTCTGCTCCCCCTTTCAATCCTCACCTCTCCACAGATCCCCAAATGGGTGGCCGAGGGCCCAGCTGAGGATGTTGCCGTGTGCGTGAACTGCCAGAACAACAGCTTCGGGGAGAAATGCGAGAGTTGTCTGCACGGGTACTTCCTGCTGGAAGGAAAATGCACCAAGTAAGGACTTTATGTGGACAGAAGGGAAACTCTAGGCATGAGATTTGCCCAAAGGAGCCGTAGTATGTGTATCGACACGAAAGCTTCCCCCACAACCGGCATGCCGTCCTTTTTTTTTTAAACTGTTGCGTGACTTGGTTCACTTCCACAGTGGCTTCCTGCTTTGTATCTGAACTTACATATTAAAGCAGATCATGAGTTCTGTCTTGCGGAGATCCCCTTCAGGGGCAAATGGTTCAGGAACATCCAGGACGTAATGCTGCCAAGTGGCTTGTTTCTGGATGAATCCCAGGGGAATGCTAGAGGCACCATCAGGTATTAAAAGACTCTGGGCAGGAAAGAGAGCAGTAACTGCCCAGGGGTAACAGAAGGGCATCTCTGTGGGCACTGGAGTGTCAGGAAGGGAGGAAAGTAAGTTGTGCCAAAATAGATCGCAACAGCAATACATTTTGAGAGGTGATGTTTCCTAGTGCATTGCATGGTGGCTGGTAGAGGGTGAGTTGGATAACAGCTGTAATACTGGTAGAATCTTCTCTCCCCCCCCCCCAACCATACCCCTTAATTCTATTATTAGAGTGTCAGTTTCCACAGGGGGAAATCTGAACATCTTCTGTAAAAATCCTGGATCAACAGGCTCCTTATGGGTGACTTGCAGATTTGTGCCCTTTACAGTTTACACATCTGAGAAGGAATTTTATTTATGGTCTCAGAAGATACTGTATCTGGTTATATTTATTTTAAGTCTTCATTCCTGGATACCGTGTAATATTTTGTCTTAGGAGTTCAAAAATGTATCCTTTTCTCCCTTAAAGGAGGTTTATTTAGCAAACAAGCCAATGAGTAACTTAAATGCCAAAATATAAAATATATTTGGAGTATATGTAAAAATCACAAGTATATACTTGAAAAATCGCAGCTTTCTAATTACATATTTCTCTAGTTCATTTGTGTCAATAATACTTCTATATTACAAAAGAAACCCTGTTAAAATAAGAGCTTCTGTTTAAACACCATGCAGGTGAAGCTCAGTGATTCAAAGAGAGAAAGAAAACAAGTTGTCTATAGTAAAAGGCTATTTTCTTAGATAACTCATTCGGTTACTTGAAAATTTGCATTGCAATACAAATTGTTATTAAAACCATTCTATCAAAGCATATGCTCTTCTATCAAGAGCGTAGGAAATGAGTCACATTGCATTAGATATTTCTTTCTCACCCATTGTATTCCCAGCAGAGATGTCTCTGTAAAAACCAGGTGGCTATGTGTTTTGGAGAGTTCCTCCTAAACATGATGGAAATCTCTGTTTTTATACACTCTGTTTTTAAATCAGACAAAACATTGTGATGCCAAACTCTTGCTGTCTCAGGAACACAGATCTTCAAAGAGCCGAGTTCCCTTAGGTATGAGATACAGTGGTGCCTCGCTTAACGAGCGCACCGTAGAACGACGAATCCGCATAGCGAGGGGGTTTTAGCGATCGCAAATGCGATCGCATACCGATGGCCCCTATGGCCGAAAATCGCTTTGCGATGGTCGGTAAGCAGTTCGCTTACCGACCTTCGCTTTGCGACCCACGGATGAGCTGTTCGGTGGCTCCAAAATGGCCGCCGGAAGCCCCAAAATGGCCACGCGCAGCGTTTTCACGCCCTCAGTAAGCGAGGGGAGGGCGTGAAAATGGCTGCCGGCCATAGGAAAACATCGCTGAACTGTGAGTTTTCGGCCCAAGAAAACCAATGGGTTTTCTTGATCCGTTCAGCGATGTTTTCACATAGCGAGGGTTAATCCGGAACGGATTAACCTCGCTATGCGAGGCACCACTGTATCTAACATCCGGGCTCTCAACCAGCTAAGACATCTCCCAGCTGGGAAAATCCCCCCTCCTTTGGATTAACTTCCTTAATACCATATTTGGGCAGTGTAATACATTTCTGATTGCCAGCTTCCTACATGTTACCTGTTCAGTCTTTCCCATTCAAACCCCATATTTGTTTTTTCCTGCCATATAATTTCCCCCAAATGTATGATTGATGGCGGCAACTGCTACTGGCTTCCCCGAGACAATTAATCTCATGTAAAGCTTCTTTAAAAGCCATCTTTCCAAATCCCCTTTTTCCGCAAACAGATTCCTTTGGTACGGGTGGTGTCACGGCAATGATTTGTTCCACGCTGGCCTGTATCAAAGGCCGTCTCTTGCCATGAACGGTGTCTCTGCAGCTCTTCCTAGGATTGTCCTTAATCCTGAACGTACGGACTGCAGAACGCACAGGGAGGGGGGAAAGCCACACAAGTTTTACCATTGCTTTTCTCCCCACCCCACTGCCCTCCCCTCTTTCCCAGGTGTCAGTGCAATGGCCATGCCGACTCTTGCAACGAGCTGGACGGGACCGGCTGCCCTTGCCAGAACAACACAGAGACAGGCGGCTGCCAGAACAGCGCCCAGTCTGACAAGAAGGATTGTTACAAGCAACAGGTAGTGACGAGCGAGGACTCTGGGTAGCAAGCAGCTTTGATGGACGGGGCTTTTAATAGGGAGGCGCGTCTTTCAGAAGGGTGGAGGAAGCAAGCAGGTGGGAATAGGGTTGAGACCGAGAAGGTCGCAAAGGGAGTACGGAAAACATCGCAGTCCGACAGGGTGTGCCCCTAGATGAGCCCTCGTGCAGCGGATGGGGACCTGCATGGGATCATCCCGGTCACAAGGATTTCTCCCTCTGCCTGCTCTCCTCAAGGGCAGCCTCAGCAAACCATCTAGTGAAACAGACTGACTGTAGGAAATACTGTTTTGAGACAGGCCATAATAAATCCAGAAGGCTTTTTGCCCCCAGGATGTTGTGAGGGCCGGTGGATGTAAGTAGTTTTAAAAAAAAAGAATCCAAGAAAGATTTTGTTCATTTGGTTTAATTTATAGGACACCTTTCTCCCAATAAGAGGACCCAAGGCAGCTTGCAATATTAAAAATGATAGGAATTGAAGACCTAATAAGATAAGCATTAAAAAAAAAACAACTAAACTGTACACTAAGTAAAATACAACAGAATAATTAAAAGCAAGTAAACGTTTAAAACTATCTTAACTTTAAGAAGGCATTCAGGGACTCAGTAGTGATGGTTAGAAGCCTGCCTGAAAAAATGGGTCTTTGGCTGTTGGCAGAAGGATAAAGGGGGGGGAGCCTGGAAAAGCATCCCATAATGTGGGAGCTGCTCCAGAGAAGAGACAGAGAGCATGGGTTCCTTGATAGCAGCTAGCTTGTTCTCTGGGTTCAATAAGAATGCCCCTCCGACTGCCAGATGCTAGGGGCCACACACACACCATGCGGCCCTCTTTGCCACTTCGTCTGTAGCGTCTGGATGGCTAGGCTCCTGATAGGATGGAAACTTGGGGGGGGGGCTTTTATGCTGCAGTTCTGTGCACAATGCAAAACCTGCAATGTAGGAGTAGTACATTTCTAGCATCCGCAGGGAATGTGAATAAATGAAGCAGACTGATAAATATTTCATGGAAAATTGTTTAATTTATGTTATAAGATTTTAGAATTTGGGTGGGAGGATGAACGGCCTGAGAGAGCCTGAGTGGCAGCTAAATCCCACTGCTTTCTTTTTCCTGCTGCTCCTTCAGTGCGCCAAGTGTCGAGAGTTTTTCCACGGGAACCCCGTGGGTGGCCACCAGTGCTACCGACTGATCATTGTGGACCAAGAGAGCTGCTTCGACCCGACCTCGCAACTAAACTGCTTCCACGAGCCCAACATCAAGAACCTCCCGCTGGGGCGCACCGTCTTTTTTGGCGTCCAACCCAAGTTCACCAACGTGGACATCCGTATCACCATCGACGTGACCTTTGGGGGCGTGGACGTCTACATTTCCACCTCCTACGAGACCTTTGTGGTGGATGTGGACCGGGCCACGGGTTTCCACGCTGTGCGAATTGTGTCACCGGGCGACGAAGCGGGTGGGCGCGGCGGCCTCGGCAACGGGAGCCAGTCCTCCCCGCCCGTGCGGGAGGCCCGGACTCACGGCCTCATCACCTACATCACCGTCCGGGAGCAGCAGGCAGTGTTGATTGTGCGAGGCGTCCGAGACCGCGTGGTCATCACCTACCCCCACGAGATCCACGCCCTCAAGTCCAGCCGTTTCTACGTGGTCTTGCTGGGCATCGGGGGCACCGGGCCCAACGTCACGGAGTCCCAGGGGCTCCTCTTTTTCCGCCAGGACCAGGCTCACATCGACCTCTTCGTTTTCTTCTCCGTTTTCTTCTCCTGCTTCTTCCTCTTCCTCTCGGTCTGCGTCCTGCTGTGGAAGGTCAAGCAGTTCCTGGACCTCAGGCACGAGCAGCGGCGCCACCTGCAGGAAATGACGAAGATGGCCAGCCGGCCCTTCGCCAAAGTGACCATCTACTTTGAGCCGGACGCCCTGGGCGCCGCCGCCGAGCTGGTCTTCCTCCCGGCCCGACCTCACAAGCACCCGGCGCTGGCTGCCGCTCAGCCCTTGCCCAGCCGCCTGAAGCCCTACCACGAGGTGCCCTACCCCGTCGCCCACTTCCGCCGCTCCGAGCCCTTCCTCTCGCACCTGATGGGCTACTCCTACTCCAGCTTTCGGGTGGGGCCGATCACCCTGGAACCGACGGACGACGGCATGGCCGGGGTGGCCACCGTCCTCTTTCAGCTGCCCGGAGGACTGCAAGCCCCCAACCGGGCCTGCCTGGGCTCCGCACTCGTCACCCTGCGCCACAACCTCCAGGACTACTGCAGCAGCAGCCACGGCGTCAGCAGCTCCCGCAAGGGCCTCTTAAGCCACGAGAACCTGACAAGCATGTCCCTATGAGCTGCCAAAGGACCCTGCCACGCTCGGAGAGGGACAGAGGCCACTGGTCCTGCCCCCGGTTGCCCTTCCAGCGGTGTTTACTTGCCTCACGGGGAGGGTGAGGAATGGGCAGCCGGAGGGTAGGTGGGGAAGGTGGCAACCACAACTGGGCACTCCCGGGGGCATTTCAGAGTGTTCATGATGGGACACAGATGCTTCTGCCAGGTGGAGCTGCTGTTTTCATGCATGTCAAGAACACAAAGCCACTGTTGGTGCTCGTTGCTGGCCAGGGCTTGCTCCCTCCCAGCCTTCGTGGTAAAAGTCTTGAAACCACCCTGGACTGGATGGACGGATACTGCACACGGTTTGTCCCTTACGGAGGCAAGCAAAAATGGCCATCAACCCAACTCTTCTATGGAAGGTCAGGGACAGATGTGTCCACGGTGAGCAGTAGAAGCCACGGGGTGGAGAGAATCTAGGCTTCGATTCTTCTCCATATTTCGGTTTTTCCCTTCTTACCTGTTCTGTGGGTCTTCGTTTTTTTAAAATAACACCCTCCCCTCCCCTTATCCTCAAAGACAAGAGTACATGTCTCACGTACTCTTGAGCAGCACTCACCCATCCTGTCCCCAAACTCTGAACAGGTAGTAAAGAGAGTCCCTGCCGGTACAGTTTCCTGGGATTAAAAAGCCAAGCCACCTCAGCAGAATCAACCTCGAAAGCTTATCCCTGGACTTGCTTCCACCTGCAGAGTTGGATAGTTACTCAGTAGTTGGTTAGGGTTTGCTCTTGCTTTTTGAAAAGTAGCATTCCGCACATTGCTTGCTATTTCAATAGGAGCACATGCCTTTTTAGTTACTTTTCTTAGGAAGAAAATGACATTTGCTTACAGAATCAAACAAATGCTGCTTTAGGGACATGCGTTTGTTGTACACAAAACGTAAGGCCATTATCAGCTATGTTAACATCATTGTGCATTATTACTCCATGACATAACTTATGCAACATCATCGCCTGTGCTACCTTCCAGCTTATGCTGAGGAAGTTGCAACAGCTGCTCCCTGCACACACCGTGTCAGGAAGGAAAGTTCGAGATAGATCTTCCTTAGGCCAGGTTCTTTTCTCGTGCCAAGATGTTGAGCATCGTGAGACATGTACCCTTGTCTTCCCGCACTCCAGTAATCCAGCCTGCTAGATGCTTTAGTTCTTGATTCTGCTGAGATAAACAGGTCCTCCCTTTCGGCTAAACATCACGAGAGCCGTTTGCCGATAAAAACTGTCCTTTGCGGAAAGAGCTGCCGGGCTCCCTCTGCGGATGTGGTTGCCCTCTGACACAGGCCAGAGGATCCAGTTCCTCATGGCTGAACTGATCTCCTGTGAGATGCTGTATTTTTTATTTATTTAAGACATTTCCCACCTCCATGTATATATATGGCCATGCAGAGTAGCAGGGGAGAGAATGACAGCGCCTTTCCCCCACCCCCTAGAGGTGGCTGTATTCTGTCTGCTTGCACGCCAAGCTGCTAATGCTGTGGATGTTTGCATCCCCGGTGCTGAAATGGCTGTGGTTCCTAGGCCGCCGCGGTCCTTGCTTGGCAGCGTCCCCCAACACAGGCTTGCATCGGCTGCACTGCTTTCCCCGGGAGTGAGGGCTCCAGTTCTTTTCCATGGAAAAGCGCACCCTCTCTCTGGACGCCGGCCTGTCGCAGGGAGCTCTCCACCTCCAAAGGAGCTAGCAAGGGCTCTTCAGTTCGCGCGCCATCTGGCAAAGCGCACAGGGGCAGCAGAAGCAGAACGCGACCCAGTCACCGAACACACAGCCCTAGGAAAGAGAAGAGGGCGGCCGGTCAGGGTACACGTCTTCACCGCTGGCCTCTTGCCACTGCAATCCTGTGTCCTCGCTCCCAGCAGCTCCTTGCTATCCCCAATTAAACATGAAGGACTGCCTGTAGAAACTGCCCGTGTAAATCTTTGTTTTAAATCTTTTCCTTTTAGGGGTGGGGTCCAGGTGGTGTCTGGTTGCTTTCTCTGCAGGGAATCTGTATCATCAACCCTCCCTAAACTGGTATCCAGGATTAAGGGGCAAGATGGGTCATATGGACCGCTAAATGGATACTGTGGATCTTAAGAGGTGATGTTCCGCTGACCTGTGCCATGTCATGCCTCTTGCTACAGAAAACAATTTCTCCGGATAAAGCTGTATTCAAGCCTGCAGTCTGTTGTACAGTGGTGCCTCGCAAGACGATTTTAATTCGTTTTGAAAAAATCGTCTTGCAAGGTTCTCTATGCATCCGTCTCAAAAAAAAGTCTTGGAAGCTTCAGTCTAAAAAAAAAGTCTTGTGAAGCATCGGTCTCAAAAAAAAGTCTTGCGAAGCACAGTCATAGAAAAAAACGTATTATGAGGCACCATAGTGATCGCAAAAACCAATAGTCTTGCGGGTTTTTGTCCCGTGAGGCAATTGTCTAACGAGGCACCACTGTATATATGTATAGATATATATGGGGCTTTCCTACATGGGTAGCCAACTGGAGACACCCTCCAGCGGCTTCAGACTGCCAAAGTCTATTTGATTCTCTCAGCATGACTCATGGTAAGAATCTATGGGAGTTGGCTTGTTCAGCATACCTGTACCTGCATGGCTACCTTTCTTTTACCAGCCACCTTTTACACTGGGGTAGTGGCAAGCCTGTTTCTAGTAGACGGGCAAAGGCTAGGTGCAAAGAACGGGCAGCCTACTTTTATTAGGAAGCTCTAGGAGGGACTGAAGGCTGGAGAAGCCGGCGGGCCCTGTATTGCAGCGAGACCGCATCCACTCGCTCGCCATCGCTTGGCAGACACAGTCACCCCTCGGGCTGGTCTCCGGAATCTGCTGGGAAGCGGGGCCGGTACCTGGATGCGCAGCTGTTCTCGCAGCCCCGTCCGCATGGCTAGGAGAGCCCCGGGCAGCAACGGGACGCAGCAGCATTCGCCGTACTGGACACCCACTTTGCATGCAAGGAAGCAGGGGACGACTCCACAGGCACCTGGTGGAAGGAAGGAGGAGGAGAGGGGAGCGCCTCCGTTCGAAATGAACCCTGCCCGGCTGAGTGAGGCTCGGAATCTGTTCTCAGTGATATGACTGATCCCACCATCACAACAAATAGGTGCAAAGCGGTGGTTCCTGACTGTGGGTACCCAGAGGTTCTTGGACTACAACTCCCAGAAATCTGGCCCAACACAGCTAGTGGTAAAGGCTTCTGGGAGTTGTAGTCCAAGAACAACTGGGGGCCCCAAGGTCACGTAGTCCAAGAACATCTGGGGGCCCAAGGTCACAAACCATAGTAAAGGGACAAGCTGCAGGAGGAGAGTGGCACAACGCCAAGGCAGGAGAGTGTCCCAGGACCTCCCTTCCAAGGGGGCAGGAGTGATCCCATAGCCCTGGGTCCCGGGCTGTTCTCCTGATGTCTCTGCCATTGGTGGGTGCAACACCTCCAGGAAATGCCAAACCAAGCAGGATGATGGGAGGCTGGGCAGCCACCATGCGCGGGGCTCTCCTCCCCACCACCCTTCCGGCCCCCACCAGCACAAGTGTTCCCCAGTGCACTTACAGATGTGCTTGTCGGCGCAACAGTCAAAGAGGGCCGTCTTCCAGTCTCGAAAGGGAGAGGGAGGGTATCTGTCGACTGCTGTAGGCTGAGTGGCCACAGGGCAGGGTTGGCAAGCCATGCAGGTGGACGGTGCTGGGAAGGAGTAGGTACTGGGAGGACGCCCACACTTCCAAGTCCTAAACAGGGTTTCCAATCACCAGCACCCAATTCTCTGCTGCTTTCCCAGCCAAAACTTCAGAAAACTGGTTGCCTCCCCCAAGGCTCCTGGGGGAAACTGCACGCCACCCCAGAGATGATGGACAAGGTCTTGGCGAGCAACCCAGAGGCTGCATGTAGTGTTTTCCTGCTCCTCCTTCATCTGGGTGGCTGGGGAAAGGAATAGGCTTAAATAGCAGGCGGGAGCCTGGGAGTGAATCTCAGCAAGAGAAAGGAGGTAGGTGTGTATGAATAAGGAACGCCCTCTGCTGACTGTCTGCCACAAATCTTTTCCTTTGTTTCTTTTAAGAAGAGACGAACCAAGGCTGGAAATGCTCGGGAATCCTTCACCCAAGTCCAAACTTAACGGTGGCAAATGATGTCTATTTAGTGCCAACGAGAGCATTTTCAGAAGCATTGCTGCAGTTTGGTCAAGCTCTTTGGGGAGGGGGGTGTTGGTGGGGAAAAGGAGGAGATGACACTGGCTATCACGAAGGCAGCAAGGCACATGGGAGCTCAGAACTGGTTCACATTTATTTATTTATTATTTATTAAATTTATATCCTGCCCATTTAGATTGAAGTCTCTACTCTGGGCGGCTAACAGCATTAAAATACAGTAAAACAAAAATATTATCACACTAGAGGATGGCGAAATAAGTTAGGTATCGACAAGAAGGAAGGCCTGTCTGAAGAGCCAGGTCTTAAGTTGGCTCTTAAAAATGCCCAGCGAGGGAGCCAGGCAGATCTCTGGAGGGAGATTGTTCCAGAGCTGAGGGGCCACTGCCGAGAAGGCCTGCTTTCTTGTTCTTTCTCTTTGGGCCTCCCTCGGCCTTAGGCCACTCAGCCGCCCCTCCTGGCTAGAGTGAGTGATCCGGGTAGATCTAGGTGGGAGGAAGCATTCAGCCAGATATTGATCCTCGGCATTAGGCCCCTCAGCCGCCTCTCCTGGCTAGAGCGAGCAATACGGGTAGATCTAGGTGGGAGGAAGCATTCGGCCAGATACTGACCTAAACCATTTAGGGCTTTATATGTCATTAATACTTTGAAATTAATGAAGAAATGTGATAGCCAGGCAGCCAATGCAAGGCAGCCAGCATGGGGGAGATATGCTGGCGTTTTCTCGTCCCACTGAGAAGTCTGGCCGTCGCATTCTGCACCATCTGAAGCTTCTGCATCCATCTCAAAGGTAGAGAGAAGTCTGGCTGTCGCATTCTGCACCATTTGAAGCTTCTGCATCGATCTTGAAGGTAGCCCTACATAGACCGCGTTACAGTAGTCTAATCTCAAGGTCTAATCTCAAGACTACAAGTGCATGGGCCAGAGTGGCAAGGGCCCCAACATCAAGACAGGCACGCAGTTGGGCAATCCGCCAAAGATAGAAGTAGGCGATGCAGACTCCTGACACTAGTTGGGTTTCCATGATAAGCGCCGGATCCAGATGTACCCCCCAGCTTTGAACCTCAGTCTTTGTGGTGAGAGTCTCGCACACACACCCCAAAAGTGAGGGAGTTTCCCAACCCACCAATGTCTGGGCCGCCCACCCTCAGGACCTCCGTCTTGACCGGGTTCAGCCTCAGACCATTTGCCTGCATCCATCCCAGTACAGCATCCAGACAGCACTGAAGGGACGGAACGGCATCCAGATGTTAATGGGGTGAATTTTAAACAGTGGAAAGGAACACCTTAAGAAAAAAAAAGGTTGACCACATTCCACACTGTATCAGAACCTCCACAATCTGTATTTGTGCTTGCACTGAAAAGTGCCTGTATGGATTTTAGACAAGCAGGAGGAGGACCTGGGAACGAGACTGATGGATGTCACCGCCAGTGCTACGAGAAGAGGACCACCCAAACGCCCCGTGGGTCTGCCATGCTGTTCTGTTGCATGTCAGGGTCAAAGCAGAGACTATCCGAAGCGTAGCCACAGCAAGCCCCCAACAGAAGCCAAAGCTGAGCCAGCGAGGAAAGGCCACACCTATATTAATTAACTCAGTTAAGCAGCAGCATGTGCTAAAATTGTGCTGAAATCAAGGAGGCCATTTCTGCGATGAAATTAAGTAGGACGCTGGCCAGGACCCAGGTGCCAAAGCGCAGCGCGGAAGGGCGACGGCGCAGCTCTCCTGCCCACTCCAGCAGGCGCACCTTCCTGTGCCTCTTCTTGCATTACCTGTGAGATCAACCAAGCAACCGGCCGGCCGGATGGGAAGCCTAAGACGTTCAGATGACTGCGCTTCCACATAAGGTGCCGGGCCAGTGGCCTGCTGCCTCTAACCACATCTGAAGAGAAGGACAATAGCACCCTAGGGGTCTTCGGAAAGTGCGAAGTGCCTGGTGAGGAGTGGAAACTCCCTTCCCCATCCTTCTCAGTGCCTGAAATCATCCTATGCTGATCCTCCCCTGGTCCACCATCTGCCACGAGGTCAACACACCGTACCCATGGAAACCAGGACCCCTGTAGACCTGTTGGTTAGTTGTCTTCATAAACTTGCCTTAGACAAATTCTAAATCTACACAATCCAAGGTAGAATTTTTCATGATGGTTGTGCAGAATATATCTGAGTACTTTTTAGTAATATAAAATTGACAAAGAATCCCTTGAAAGAAATAGAAACAGTGTTTCCAGACAGCTTCCAGGAAAACAAATAAAAAGGCGTTGCTATTCTACCCTCCCTTAGATTTTTAAGGGCAAGAAGGGGGGAAAAAAAGGGAAAACATGGTGAAATTACAAAACAGGCCATGTCATCTGGCTGCTCCATGATATTCTGAAATAGGAAGCGGGTTGCACAATAAAAGCCTCATCTGGAACCACCCGGAGGCGGCTGCTGCAAATACAGGTATGTTAGGAATTAACTTGGGGCATTAGAACATACAGGTATTTTTAATTAGGAAAAAAAAATTATCAACAACTCTTATCATGAAAACAGGTGTTCCTGCTTTAGATGCTATTTCTCAAGGAATTGTGCACTATATTTCCTTAAATCACAGTTAGGTTAGTTGCACATGTTTACTCCCAAATGTGTCCAAACTGATACAGAGCAGGAAAATTGGCACACGCCGTTGGAAGGACTGACCGACGTTCAGTTTAAAGGACAAGCACTTGAAGGAGGGAGACGGGGATCAATCATCTATATTATCCTAACAGCACACAGTCATCCCCTGAACAGACCGTACGGGTCACCTGGCTGTGGTCTTCAGCACTATGAAGATACGTGCTTATGCTCCCTGCACGGCTGATGTTCAGCCTCATGGGGCAGCTGTAAGCCCCCTCTTCCAGTGATCGAGGGTTGGCTGTGGTGTGGTGATGTTCTGCTAGATTCAGGTGTGACTCCCTTGCTGGTGGCCTTCCTCCTTTGACAGCATTTCTGATGTGCTATGCAATTTCTATATGGTGCTATGCAATTTCTATATGCAAATACACGTTCGGCCATTGTACTCTGGGCACTTCATGAAATGCAAGGTTTTGGAAAAGACAATAATGCTGGGAAAAGCTGAAGGCAACAGGAGAAGATGAAAACCAAACGTGAGATGGATTAACACAATAAGGGAAACCACAGGCTTGAGTTCACAAGAGCTGAGCGGGGCATTTAAGGTCAGGACATTTTAGAGATCATTCCTTCATAGGGTTTTTCCTTATATGTTGGAAGGGACGTCAGGGCACATAACAAATCCACCTTTAGAAAAAACTTCTTACTGTGTTTTATATGCACATTTTGTTTGAATGCCTAAATTGGCTTTTGTGGATCATTTTGAAGTCACGTATCTGAAGATTTCCAGTGATCAGCAGTGATTTGTTGAACTGAAATTAATCATTTGATGGACAATACGAAAAAAGGAGGGTATACAGTAATATCTAGTCTTGGAACTTGACATACAACATTCATCTTCCTGACAACCTTTTTGTTTCAGATGGTTTGGGATAAAATCTCTATTAAATTAAATCTTATAAAGGCTCACTTCGAGGGAGAAACATATCAGCTTGTCAACATTTGTACACAACTAAGACTAATCCTTTTTAAATTAGATTCTCCCTGCACGCCATTTTCAGCCACTCAAATTATTAAAAGAAGTGCCCTGGTTTTTGAGAGCCAGGAGCACAACGTGCAGACCACACCTGTCAGATTCATGCTGTGGGTGAAACATTTGTTTGAGCTAATGTTCAAGGCCAGGATGGGCCACCTGCCTGTCCCTTTGGATGCGACTGGATTGCTCTTCCAGTATCGGGCACCACTGATCATCTTGCCTAGGGATGATGGAAATGGTAGTCCCACATCATCTCCACTCTGCTCTAGGGATTCTGTGTGCATTCAGCAGGTTTGAAAACATCTCTGATTTGGAAAAAGGTGTGATTGCACCCTTCTCTTTCACTCATTTGCCTCTTGGAAGAAATTATTGTATTTCCATAGATGCCTAACTTGAAATAATGAAAACTTAATAAAAGATTTTTTAAAGACAAAGAGGGGGAATCTTCTTTAAGCTTTAAAATGGTTTAAAGTTATTTTTTGATGTATTTCCAAAAGTTGGGGGGAAGTGCTGGCCATGTTTCCAGAGAAACGTGTTTTTGTTTGAGGTTAATTCCTGGGTTAAAAAGTTGAATCTTACAGCAATTTTCTTAACTTACTCAATTTCTCTGCCTAAGCAAGCAAAGCACAAGAGATAAGCCATTTATTTCGAAAAGGAAGGCGAAGATTTGTTTCATCACATGCAAGAAAAAAGCAATTCAAAACCAGAAACCAAATCAAAATATGTCAGTGTCGTTAAAACTAGCAGATTTCATCATGGAAAGTAATCTAAGTCACTATGGCTAAAATCCTGTTGCTTGGCATAGTAAACTGCACTAAAGACAGCCCATTGAATCAACAGGGATCTGGCCAGTCAACTCCACTGTATGTTCCATTGATTCAACTGGGCCTACTCTACAGTAGTTGCAACCCACTACACTGCGCAACAAAGGGATGTGGTGGCGCTGTGGGTTAAACCGCAGAAGCCTCTATGCTGCAAGGCCAGAAGACCAGCCGTCGTAAGATTGAACCCACGCGGCGGAGTGAGCTCCCATCGCTTGTCCCAGCTCCTGCCAACCGAGCAGTTTGAAAGCATGTAAAAATGCGAGTAAATAGGTTATTTATCGGTGGGAAGGTAACGCCGTTCCGTGTTTGGTCCCACTGGCCAAGTGACCACGGAAACTGTCTTTGGACAAATGCTGGCTCTATGGCTTGGAAACGGGAATGAGCACCATGCCCTAGAGTCGGACATGACTGGACTAAATGTCAACGGGAACCTTTACCTTTACACTGAGCAACAAGATTTCAGCTTCTGAAATAAATGTCTTAAATATGCAATAAATGTGCAAATACTGTATTATTTTTGTTTGGTGGTGCTAGGAAGACCGCAGCCCAGCTAAATATAAGGAGAGGAGTATCTGCTCAGTAGTTTACACAAGCATTTCAGAAATCTGGTAATGCTTAGCTGGAGGTGAGGGATGATAAAAGCAAGGGCACTATCTTGCGCTACCTGTTTCACCTGTCAGAACGGTATTGGTGCTGTTATCAAAGCACTGATGCTATCAAGGAGAAGCAACACTGGCATGGGAGACACACCTGAACGTAGAACGCTGCCACGCTACAGTCAAAACCTGCTGGTGCTGGACCAGGATGTTGCTGTTATGGCTGCCCCATGAGGCTGAATATCAGCCGTACAGGGAGCACAGCCTCTTCCTTTTCTTGAGTCTGTGCAATCTTTTGTCCTAGTTTATTTCCTGAGCTTCTGACCATGAATTCAGAGCGCTGCACAAGTCCAATGTGCAGCAGAGACGAGAAATGCAATTTCCTAAATGTTTTCTCAACAGCTGCATGTCCTTTTTTTTCCTGGGCACATCTGCGCACTGACTCAATTCAGCCACACCTGAAAACCAGCACGTGTGAAATGGAAGACCAAGCCTATTAGCAATTAGATAGAAGTGGACATTTCATGCAAGCGACACTGGTTGAAATGTCTTCTTCTACATAACCATTAATAGTACAGAAGTTTTACGTTTGCCTTCATGTGGACGCCTAACTGAAAACTTAAAAACTACTCTGGTAGGTATACATCTTGGAAGCATGGGTTTTTGGTTACACTGATTGGGGATTATGGGAGCAGTAGTTCTCAAAATCAACATTTCCAATCTTTCAGTAGGTCAGACAAAAGGTTCCTCTCTGGACCAGCTGGCCTCCTACTGCTTTCCGAGTGTTGCAAGGCACAGCATGATAAAGCCAACCACCCCTTTTGACTTGGCAGTCAGAAACCTCTTTTGGAAGATGTTCAAGGTAGGAGAGGAAGGTAAAATCGAGCCCCACCCTTCGTCTTCCCACCAACCAACCTGCTGGGGCAGCTTCCCCACTTGATGAGGGGTTAACAAGCTTTGAAGTGATAGCTGGCAAAACAAACAGGAAAGCTCTCTGCTATATATAACCCACAGGTCCACCCTTGCATTTAAATATCCTTTATCTATATGTACATTGCCCCCCCTCCGTCTGCTTCGCAAGACAGCGATTTAAACAGCTGATTGGCGGTTCGCAAAGCGGCTTTCCTATGGCTGATCTTTGCTAGACAATGACGATTCTTCCCCATTGGAATGCATTAAACAGGTTTCAATGCATTGCAATGGGGAAATGCTTTTTGCTAGATGATGACTTCGCTAAACAGTGATTTCAGTGGAACGGATTGTCATCGTCTAGCAAGGCATCACTGTATCTATATATACATTGCCCCCCTCCCCCCACATGCTTAAGACATCTGACAAAGCACGCTCCGTCTGACAAAGCACACAGTAGCTTAAACCACTCTGTATATTTTTAAGTTTCCATAATACTTGCTCCTGCTATGTTTTTTCATGGAAGATTTCCCTATTTTGGGGGGGGGGGAAATTTCCCCACAAAATTTGATAATTACACAGTATTAGGCTATCTGGTCCGAGTCAGTAAAATACAGCTCAATATACATAAATATAGGATTGCTTTGTTTGCATCCTTTAAAACACTGCAGTCCAAGGCAGGTGCTGAGCCAGCCCTGATCCTGCAACCAGATTACAAACTTGAATCACAAACCCAAGCAGTTTTTATTTGTTCTATCTCTGATGTGGTTGGTGTTTCATCTACACTCAGCTACTGTACCTCCAAAACCAACTACCTTTAAAAAAAAAAAAGAGGATACACATAAAGAAAAAAATAAGACAGGTGAAAAGGAGATTGTTTTACTGTTTTGTCTGCAGGTGACAAAACACTGCACTTTGTAATAAAACAGGCAAGTTAACATGGTAATTTGAGAAGGGGGTAGCCCAAATCTTTTCTTTTAATAAGAGGGAATTGATTTACCCTAATTCATTAATTTAGAATGAATGATAGAACAACAGTATAAGCTACTTGGAGGGAAGGCAAACACTCGGTTCTGCCTGAGAATCCCCTGAAGAACATTTCTAAATTTGCAGAAGCTACAAGAACTGACATCCTTGGTCCACCAGGAAGTCTTGGCAGAGCTATGGATACCCAGCTGAAGAGCAAAGAGGCAAGAACACCTCAATTCAGACCTGGGTGGCAGCAGGTCCCCATGTAAACAGCCTCCTGTACTTCACTTTGTAAGAACAAACGCTTTTCTCCTGAAGCCAATAAAGCTAAACTCAGTGACATAGCCTTCATTTGCAAGTAAAGCTTTCCTTCTTTCTCCAAACTCCTCCTTTCCAAAACGAGCAAAATAAACAAGATTAACAGCCAGCTTCTAACAATTAAGCTGTTGAATAACTGAAACGCTGCTGCCAAGCCCTACCCTACAAGGCCTTGAACCTTCCTGCTTCTCACTTTCTCTGGCTCACTAAGTCACTACGCATTCTCACTGGCGAAAAGTTTTGCAATTCAATCTCTTCTTTTAATAAACAGCAAAATCCTTTCTTCCCCAGGGTAGATAGAAATCAACGATTTTTTTAAAAAATCAAACTGATTTAAATTAAAAATTATTTTTTATTTAAATCATCGAAAGTCCATTTATTTACATCATGATTTAAATCATCTGGATTTAAATAAAACCCACTTGGTTTTTTTTTAATTAAAAAGGTTTTAAAAGATTAAGACAGGGAGTGGAACTCAGCACACGCTGGTCCTCTCTGGAACTGGAACCAGAAAAACAGTACAGTTGAGCCGCCCCAGCCAAGGCTGAGGGAAAGTAACACCAACGGCAGTGACAGGATTGATCCCGCCACCTCACCTCAATATGACACGTAAGCCACTGCCTCCCTGCAGCCAATCTGATGCTCAAGTGGCACTTACAACTTCCAAATAGTTTGCTTCTGTATTTCGGTAAACCCTTCTGTAACAAGCAAAAGAAATCTGAGATAACAGATAAAATCAGAATGGATGGGGTGGAAGGTGTTTTGCTTTCATTGCTGGGCAGCCAGCAAAAAGGAAGACCATAGCTGGTAAACCACTCTAAAGGTGGGTGGGAAAGCCTTCCTACCTAAAAGATATGACACACACTCTCCTCAAAACTTGTCACTCAGCCTGAAAGGACAGAGTTTGCATAAACATGACCTCCCCTTGGCTGACAAGAGAGTGACAGGCAGCCTTTCGATAACTTCACAGCTGGCAACTGCAAACCCTATTCTGCCATCCGCAGAGATGTTTGAGACCTCAGCATATCCTGCTCTAGCCACTACTTGGCACCATCCAGCCGACACAAACCAATTCAAACCTGTCATCACACAAAGTGAGATGGGAAAACGGCTTTTGTGTAATATTCAGACTGCAGGAGGGGGAACTCGCATGCCTGGATACGGCCCAGTCCATGATCAATACTCACTGATAAGACCAGCCCTCTCCCAATGTGTCTAATCTGATTTTAAAGCCATCCAAACCTGTGGCCCTCAACATACTGTACCTGGTGGTAGCACTTGGGCCAGTTATGCATGAGTATAGGGCCTCTCTACTAGGTCTTCCACTTAAAAAGAATCCCAAGTGGTATCAGAACAGAACTTTTTGAAAATGCATTGCCTCAAAAAAGAGGGTCCCCATTTTATCTTTCCCCATAAGAGATGTTTCATACCAATGGCTCCCAAAGGTGATACGTCCACAGCAAAACGTTTCAGGGGTCCTCTGTGCCCCAGCAAAAACAGTCATTGTTAGAGACCGAGGAAAGTCAGTTTCACCTTCTCCGGGCATCCTTTCTGTCCTGAAATTCATCAGGATACAAATGGAAGCCGGTTTTTCTCCCACAGACACCAGCCAAATCCAGAACTCTTTTATTCCCAGCTAGACCTGACAAATGTGCAGTTCTTTCAGTTGAGCCCTCTGGCTCAAAACCGGTCAGCCCCTCACCTGGCACCATAAACGTGGCTAAATATCTGCAGGGACTCAAAGTCGGGCTCTGTTATGTATTTATTCAATGCATTTATACCCTGCTTTTAAAAAAGATCAGATTTTCTTTTCCCCCAAAGGGCAAAGTATACAAAGCCCTTTGCTTCAATGAATGCACCAGGTTTGCTTTCTCCCACATCCAGTTTATAAAGAAATGTGCCAATCTGGATTGTTCCTATTAAATACAAAAGAAATGGAAGTCTCGCCGAATCTCATTAATCATCTTTTTTTTTTTTTGGTCTCATGTGCTCATTAATTATATGCTCCCTGACTCGTCCTTCCATACCAAGCACAGCATCAACCAAGACAACAGCAGTGACACAAATTTCAAAATGGAAGAACAGAGAGGGAACCAGCAAAACATTGCAAGCCTATCCAGTGTTGCATATAATGCTGGTCAGCAAAATGCACTCAGCCAGCTTTCTGAGGCACTAGGTCCCAGTAAGCATCAAGGAATGCAACTCTACAATTATTGTGACAGGTTAATTCCCCCATATTGCTGCAGTAGGACAGCACAAAGGCTCTGCTTCCAGAACCTGGGGCTCCTGGCCTCTCCCAAACAGGTGCCCTTCGACGCAAGATATGGGAATGCAATCTTTTAAGCCATATCTCTTGCTTACAATTTAATCCTCTTCATCTTCTTGTTGCACTGTGCGGGCCATTGCTAAACAGGGTTTCCAAACAGAGTTGTTGACAGGACTAAGAAAATTGAAGTTCAAAATTGAGAGGACAGTTGCACCCTCACAAATGCATTTGTGAGGCAACGTGGCTTGTCAGTTGGGGGCAATGGGGTTGTTTAGCAGTGATGGGAGGGCTCTCTCCTAGTGTGGGAAGAGAATGTTTTTTTTTCCCCTAGAGGAGAGGTTTTCCAAATTTGGTACTGAATTCCCCAGAGATGCAGAGAATTGCTAGCATGCCTCAAGCTCCTTTTGGAGACCTCCATTTTTTCCCCCAGAATGCATCTTAACTAAAGCTAGGAATCAAAACAGCAGCTACCCTGATCCCAACAGAACTTTTTGAGGGGCCACATTAATTCTTTTCTGCCTTCACCAAGTAGATTGTGGGTCTCTGTAACTCTCTTCCCTGCCCCACTGAGTCCTATTCACATCCCTTGACATTTAGAGGGGTTAGGCAATTACTTTCTGGACTTAAGGAGACTTCTCAAGCTTGGTGTAGAAAGCCAAATGGCTCAACAGTTTCTCATCTTCTAAAGATACCAATCAGTTACTCCTAAGCTACTTTGAAGATACCTAACAAATTTTTCTCAGGCTGTTCTTTTTAATCCCCTTGAAGAAAAAAAAAACATTTTAAGAGGCATACAGGCTGAAACATGCTGGGCTTCTAAAGCTGTAAGCAGTATTCCATGATTTCTTAAGAATTCTCTCTCCCATGTTTGGGTTCTACTCTAATGCCCTCCAATTTCTGTCTTCATCAAGTAACTCGTTGACCGGCCTAGCAGTGCTTTCCCTATTCAAACAGAGAATTGAGGATGATCCTTATCTAGAGGCATCATCCTGCCAACCAGAGCTTTGCTCAGCCTCTACACAGAGTTGTCACTGCCAATGTCTTCCTAAGTTACAGTGATATAGTATGTGGAGGGAAAGTCTCAATGGACAAAAAAGAACAAAGCTATAAATGCTGAAGCACAGGATTCAGAGTTACCATTTGGAGCATAAAAGGCTGGTTTTACCTTTATAATCTGCAAGCTTGCACTGACTACAGTTTGCTTGATGGAAATAGATTTCTGGAGAGGGCTTTGATATCAGCAGATGGACACAAGACCATATAAGAAAGTACAGTACCGTGGAATCAAATCAAAGGCCTATTCGAACCAGTATCTAGCCTCCCACAATAACTCACTGAAATGCCCAAAAGGAGGATATTAGGACAATAGCTCTCCTTTGCAGTTGTTCAACTGGTTTTCAGTCGCTAGAAGGCTTTCAACCACAATGCCCCCTTTCAGCCATTACAGCCACTAGTCACTTAGCTTCTAGTCTGCCTGAAAGCCTTCAAAATTACCACACACTCCCTTTCATGTCTCTGTGCTGATCATCCTCCCCATCAATTTCACTAAGGGGGATCCTAAAGTCTAAGTTTTATAAAAAAGGGAAGAAAAAAGCCCTGTCCACTTCCTCTGCACTATGCATAATTTTATAACTCTCATAACACACACGCTTCAGTTTTACAGTATTATAAATAAATAAAAACCCAAATACTCTACTTTTTCCTTATAGAGAAAATGACTTTATCTTAGTATGTCTTTTCTGAATCTTGTCCTGCCACAGAATTGTTCATGGCATTTCACACGTAAGTCTGAAGAAAAAACACATAACATTTTAGTATTCAGCTGTAGAGTTATAAAAACATATTACCGTATCTTCATTTTTTTCTCTTTTGCTTTTTCTGATCATCCCTGTCAGGGAAATTTCTAATTTTTGTTGCTGCCAAACACTGGACAAAGTATGCACTGAGCTTTCTCCCAACAACTTCAATATTTCTTCCTAGTGAATCAATGTAAGTTTGGACCTTGCCAGTGTATATGGGGAGTCCAGATTTTCATTATTTTTACCCCATTATGCATTACATCACAATCAATTACACTGACTCCCACCAGTCACTTTGATGCTCGTTTGCCCAGTCTGGAAAGATCTTGTTGGCATTCTTTGCATCCTGCTTCTTATTTCATTGCTTAAATGATTTGTTTCCTGATTTTGGACCAATTATTGATACACAGGCACGTCCATTTTCTTATTCCTCAATTACTAAATTTAATGAAAAACCTTTTTAAATTTTTTTCTGAGAGTTCAAATATTTAATAGGCAAGATCAGCATTTTATTACATTTAGAGTATGCCTTTGATGTTAATAGAACTAGTTAGCCATGGCTGATTTGTCTAAATGATTTTAAAGCATCTATTAAGCCTGAATTGCAGTCTTTAGAAACAAAAGAACATCGTGCTGTTTACTTCTTGTAAACAGAACAATTTAAGCAACTGGTTGCATATTTTTTATTGTGACATCAGCCATTTCACATTTGAAAAACCCTGGTTGCCTGCCATCTGGAGCCAGTGGTGTTGATTTCAAGTTGTCAATTACCTTTGGAATCTTATGTAGTATTTGATAACTGTTCTAGTTTGTCACATATCAAGTCTGTGACAGTCTACCAAAGCCAGAGCAATGGCCTTGTAGCACCTGAGGTAGGAAATCTAAACAGTATTCCCTTTAAACACCAATTCACTACAGTGTTCTCCAGCACAATGCCTCTTGAAGTGAAAGGAAGCGGCATGTGAGCATTACCATATTCCTGTACAGTTCCCCTTCACATATTTAGGTGCTGCTTAAAAACAACGAAAACCAAAATAACAACAAAAAACCAATAATCCCCAGCAGACTAGATTATGAGCCATGAGACAGCTTTCTATTCCATCAGTTGCACTTCATGGCAACCCAAATCCAGCACTCAAGGCAGCTGCTTTATTTTGCTTCCGCCTCGGGCCATTTCTGTAAAATAAACAATTTCCAGTACACACTAGTATGTCCCCTGGCAGAATCCTCAAGTCCAGTCGCTCCCTGCTCTCCTCCACCTTCCCTTGTGGCATCCCTTGTCTCCTCTAATGGAGCTCACTTAGTCCACACTGTCTCTGCTGTTTATTTATTTTATTTATTTATTTATTTGATTTCTATCCCGCCCATCTGGTCTGTAGGAAACCCTCTAATCACAGCAATTCCTCACAGCAATTCCTTTACTACTAGAAAAAAGAACAAGCTGGTCCGTGGCATTTCTACCTCAAAGGTTTCCCTCTGCAGCATGACCCCTGCCCACTTCTTGCAGAGGACAATGTCACCTTTGAGACTCCCTCTGGCCTCACACAAGACCCCATTAATCACTCAGTCTATAGCTGTTCCTCTGATATCAATCAAAGTCAATGGTGACCTCTTCAATCTCTTCGTGGCTGTTCTGGACGGTGCTCTTGCCATGCATTTCCTTCAGGTGGCGCCGGAGGCCCGGCTTGTGGGTGAAGTGCATCTCGCAGTAGTTGCACCGGTGAGGCTTGATGCCGCTGTGCAGGTTGAGATGGTCCTGGAGGGTGGCATTCTGGGTGAAGCACTTGCGGCAAATGGGGCACTGGAAGGGCTTGAAGCCCGTGTGCACCCGGATATGCCGTGTGAGGTTGCTTTTCTGAGAGAAGACTTTGCCGCAGCGAAGGCACAGGAAGAGCTTGTGTTCTTGCACATGGCTCACAAAATTCCCCAGCTGCTGAAACACGCTGCTGCAGCGCGGGCAGCGGTAGGGTCGCTCCAGTCCTGGCACCTTCCACACCGCCGTCCCGCTGCTTGTCTTCCAGTCTCTGTAGGCAACGGCCGTGCTGTGGCGGTGGCGATGCAAGGGGTAGTTCCTCCACTGGGAAGCTGGGGTGGGAGCTGGAGGTGGGAAGGGAAGCCCTTCGCTGCTTGTTTCATCGTCGTAGCAACCCTGCAAATAGTTGCGAGTGATTTCTACAGCAGAGTTGATCAGAGAGAGTGAGATGGCTGGGGACGAGGGTCCACAGGAACTACGTGGGGTGTACTCAGCCCCCTCTGCCTTGCTTCCTTCAGAGTCTGCCTCCTCCGTGGGTGAAGAAGGCTGTTTCTCCTCTTCCTCTTCCTCTCCGTCCTGCTGTAAATAGCTCCCCTCCCCTTGTTCATCCCGTAATAGAGCATCAGCTTTGGGGACTAAGTAGTGGGAGACTGCCTGGGCACAGCGCTCCACCACGTGGCCCATCTGTAAGAAGGAAGCAGCTGTCAGGTAGTTGACCAACTCTTTGATGGGCACCTCAAGGCACCCTGTATAGCAAGAGAGCAGAAGCTGGCGTCCAATCTCGGGACTCTGGAAGAGCGAGACAGACACTTCTTGTGAGTCATTGAGCAGAAACTGGTCCCGCAAGAAAGGGGAGCAGGCTGCAAAGACCACGCGGTGCCCAGGAACCCGCAGTTCGTTCACCTGGACGGTCACATCACAGAAGCGCCGCTGCTCCCGGAGTTGGTCCATGCGATGCAGCACCCCGTCACCGTAACTGGGGAAGCGGAATTGTAACCGTTCACAGGATGGGGCCATCTTTGATCTGCCTGGAGAGGGGTAAGATGTGGGGGGGGGGAATTCTGAGTTACATATTATATTCTAGGAAGGAGTGAAGACACCTGGACAGAGAGTGTTGTATGATCTTTGTGTCAAAGGCAAATCATCATGCCATGAGTACAAATGCAACTGATCAGATAAAAATGAAAGCATGGGAAATATGACAGCCAGTGGCAGAGAAAGGAGAAGAACAAAAAAACCCTTGCCAAATAAACAATTCAAAGCCACAAGATTTAGACGCTCCTCCCATATCCAAAATAACCCTACAAAAAATATTCCAAATACTGCAGTTTTCAGGTGATAACCGAAAAGAAAATGGTGCAACTCTGATGCACTCATATGTGACTACAAAAGATCTGATATTATCCTACAGAGGCTTTATTTTTGTAAGTTAGCAAATTTACAATACTCTTTCTTTTATTACAAAATAATGCAAAGCAAGACAGCAAAGCTGCTAACTCTCTGTGAGCATAGCCTTTCTTCAATGTGTATAAAGCGCTTCCTTGGAGTCAAACCAGAAGCAGATGCAGCAGTTTCCCATCTCCTCTTTGCAGCTAACTAGCAGAAAGAGAGGAGAGCCCAAGAAGTTATACATCTCATGTGCACAGCAGTCAATCCATAGATTCAGCATTACATGTGAACAGACTCGATGTGTTTGGCTTTCAAAAAATGACTTATTTTTTACATGCCTTGCTGTTTTATAAGCTATCTTGAGAGCTGTGCTAGTATCGAGAAGGGATAAATAAACCATGATGGAACTCAGCAACAAAGACATCCACATAAATCTGAGCAATGAAAGCTCTAATTTGGTTTCAGGAGAACGTCTTCCCACAGAGCTGCGCTTAAGTCTGCTGAAAAACCGCTAGAAATTAAACTCAAAACTGGATGGTTGGGAGGGGCATTCAAAAAAACACACTTTAACGAAGTGAAATGACTTGATTTCCTGGTACTGTATATACAAACTAAGCAATATCAAAGCTCTATGAACCGTCTGTTTCAATAAGGAACGTTCTCTTAGATTGGGCATTTCCATACGGCGTGCTTAGAAGTGTTTTGTTCGGGAAAACACACAATGAACCCCCTAAGAAAGCGCCCAGTAGAGTACAGAGGGATTTCCACCCACGTGCCCTCTTACTAGTATTCCCGAACACGTTCCACGCAGCTTGCGTGGCGCTCTCTTCCAGCTTCTCAGGCGGCTGGCTCATCTCCCCTACGCTCTTTGCGTTCCCCGAGCTTGCCCTGAAACTGGTGACGCAGCGACCCCTAGAGGCCTCCTTGGCTCATCTCAGGGCGCTCCTTAACGCCGCTCCCTCCCACGGCTATTCACAGACGCCTCCTACGCTCCTCCCCTAACGCCTAGCCTTCCAACGAGGACGCAAGTTACGGCGCTGAGCGCCTCTCTTTTCACAACCCACTCACTCCGAGTGCTCCTTTGGGGGCCCTTCTCGTCTCGTTCAGGCGGCCCGCCTCCGCTGCTCAGGGCCTCCGGCACAACACTCCCCTCAGAGGCGGCTCCGTTACGACGCCTCGCGGCCCTTCGCCCGCGCCGCCATCTTGGAGCCCGCCTCTCCATGGGTCCGGGACTTCTTCTCCCAGGCGGGCAAGGGCAGGGATTGCTCCGCCGAGCGACCCGCCGCTGGGGCTCCGTGCGAGGGGGACCGAAAGTGGGCGGGTCGGGCGGAGGGGGTCACGCGACAGCTCCAGTATCCCTCCGCCGGGAAAGAGTCCGCCCTACTGACCCCTCCCTTTGACCCCCCCAAATGTCGCCCTGTGGGTCCCCCTCAGAAAATCCCCCATATATTTTTTTTGCTCCTTCTGAAAGCCCCCAGCACTGCTTCGCACATGAATTTTGCCCTCCACCATCACCACGTTACCCTCTGGCAGAGCCACCAACGCGTTCCTTTCCACCTGAAGAGTAGACCCATTGAGACCCATGGGAAGCTAATTTAATCATGTCTCCCAATTTCGAAATGCCCCACCCCCGTGTGCTCTAATTTCTCATTCGATGCCCCATTTGCACCTTGTCATACACCTGCTCCTCTCCCAAAGGCCAATGATTCTTTTAACGATTCTCTACCTTTCCTGTCACTGCCTGGGAAACAGGTAGACATTCACCCGGTGTATCATCCTGGCTGGGGGAATCACATCTTTCTCCTCTGGTGTATCCCCGTCAGATTATCTATCTATCTATCTATCTATCTATCTATCTATCTATCTATCTATCTATCTATCTATCCTATCTAATCTATCTAATCTATCTATCTATCTATCTATCTATCTATCTATCTATCTATCTATCTATCTATCTATCTATCTATCTATCTATCTATCTATCTATCTATCTCACACACTGTTTCCCCGAAAATAAGACAGGGTTTTATATTAATTTTTGCTCCAAAAAACACATTAGGGCTTATTTTCAGGGGATGTTTTATTTTACAGTCATGCCATCTTCTTCTGGTTGCTGCACAAGAGTGGAGGGTGGGGTTTCACTTAACTAGGGCTTATTTTTGGGGTAGGGTTTATATTACGAGCATCCCAAAAAAATCATACTAGGGCTTATTTTCAGGTTAGGTCTTATTTTAGGGGAAACAGGGTATAGAGAGAGGCCATATAGGGACATTTCTTAACTTGATGCCAAGAAACACTTGTCCAGCAGGCCGAGGCAAAGAGGCACTCCGGAAACCAGCAAAATCAGGGAGCTGGACAGGGGACAGATGGTATTTTCCTTCAGTGTGGAAGGGATGGTCACTCTCGAATTGGCCTTCTCAGCCACGCTAGATGCTGTTCCAAGTCCTCCATACAGAGCACATTACCATCGTCTCTCGAGAGTGAAGGATGCCCACATATTTAATTGCAGGACATGATTAAATTATATATTGCTCTAGTTTCTTCAGAGCATGATTGCATATACATTTTTTTGCATGTGTGTGTGGATTGTGCAGAGAATGTATATGCAACCATCTTCTGAAGAAATCAGGGTGGCTTAGAGATGAACAATTTGGAAGAGAGAGAGAAAAAATACTGTACTTTGGTGCACCCTGACATCTTAATACAGTTTGTAATTATTCCAGAAACCCTGCTACCAAAGGACTCAAACAGCCTGGGATGTCCATTAAGGGTGAAGGAGATTTCCTTCCTGACTTATGCTAACATGACCCCTGCCGAGTGCTGGGGAATTCAGAATCAGGTCCCACTGCTCACGTGCCGAAACATCGCCTGTTATTATTTTAATCCTGGATTTGATACAGCTCGGATAAAGGTCACGCTGGCGAATGCAATCTATTACAGTATTTGTATCACAACAAACCAAACACCTGGCTGCCACACATGCTATATATATCACACGCACGCACACAGAACCATTATAACAAAATATAGCGGCCTGATCTCACCCTGGCAGAACAATAGTTTGAAAATATCTTTCCTTTAGTAATTTTGATCAGGCAGCTACTATATTCCAAGGGGAAGCATGACACGGAGGCTAGGACAGTAAAGATCTTTCTAGTTTAACTTGAATCCTTCATGGGGTTTCCCCCATCAAACTCTCCTAATTGTTGCTGAATTACAAATAGAGAATGAGACATGTTATTCTAATGAAAAGTCTCTGTACTGTAGTGCTTAATTAGACCTGGACTTCAAATCCCTACCAATGCAGTATTATTTTGATGACCATGTGCAAATTCTGAGTTTCCCACGGACCTCCCCTATAGTCTTGCTGAGGACAGGAGATAATCTTATATTTTGAGCCTGGAGAAAAGGTGAGAGGTTTGGTAACAATAAATATGATAAAAGAGGTAAGAGTTGAGCATTCAAGTAATGCAACACTATGCAGAAGAGGCTTATGCAATTATATTTGGTGTGAAAATGTCTTAAAAACTGAGTTCAGTAGTGGCAAAGGGTAGATTTAGTTCCAATCTCACAGAGCTGCCCCCCCTTTTCTTTCCCCCATAGACGTGACCAGTTCTGGGGAAATAAGATGCTACATTTGGAGAAAATATTGCACTGGGAATTAAATATGCCCATCTTTGATTGGATGGTATAGTCTTGCTGAGGACAGGAGATAATCTTATATTTTGAGCCTGGAGAAAAGGTGAGAGGTTTGGTAACAATAAATATGATAAAAGAGGTAAGAGTTGAGCATTCAAGTAATGCAACACTATGCAGAAGAGGCTTATGCAATTATATTTGGTGTGAAAAGGTCTTAAAAACTGAGGTCAGTAGTGGCAAAGGGTAGATTTAGTTCCCACTCTCACAGAGCTGCCCCCCTTTTTCTTTCCCCCATAGAAGTGACCAGTTCTGGGGAAATAAGATGCTACATTTGGAGAAATATTCCCATCTTTGATTGGATGGTACGGGCTACTATACTGTGTGAAGAAGCGAATTCCCATTTCTACATAGAAGGATAAGTTTACCCTAAACGAAGCTTTCCTGCACTATTTAAGAGGAAGGGGTATGTTTGCGTATGTCTATATTGTGTGTGTGTTTTTAAATTACCTTGCTCTTCAATGAGAAACATCTCCCACAGCAGCTTAGAAAAGCCAGAAATAACATTCTCTGGCCAAAATGTAAAATTTAAAAGTGACACATAGCAAACAAAAACAAAGCAGCTCTAGGCATCTGCATCATACAAGTCTTTCCTTCCCATAAACCATCATGAAGGAGGGCACTGTAGTTAGTCTATAAAAACTGGTATACTTGAGCACAGCACTGGGCAAACACGGGTTGGAGCATGAGCTGGAGCTCCCAAACCATCATAGCCCATAGGGCAGCTCACCAACATCTGGAAGAGCCACACAGTTTGAACAAAAATGTATATTCCACGGCATCACACTGGAGCAGGTAGATCTTCCGCTTGGTGCAAACCATAGTTTTTATCCAGGCTTTTTTTTTTTTGCACTACTTTCTTGAAAGCAGCTTCCTGTGAAGCACAGAACGTATCTCACAGTTCAGTCCCCAGCAAACCCAAATTTTTTAGCTGTGGCCAGAAAGTCTCCCCCGAACCGCTAAAGCAAGCCTGGTATACTGAATCTCAACACAAACTACCAAGAAACAGTCTGGTTTTCACTGGGTAAAAGTAAAGGTTCCCCTTGACATTTAGTCTAGTCGTGTCCAGCTCTACGGTGCGGTGCTCATCCCCGTCTCCAAGCCGTAGAGCCAGCATTTGTCCGAAGACAGTTTCCATTGTCACGTGGCCAGCGTGACTAAGGAACGCCATTTTACCTTCCCACCAAGGTGGTACCTATTTATCTACTCGCATTTGCATGCTTTCGAACGGCTAGGTTGGCGAGGAGCTGGGACAAAGCGACAGAGTGCCCTCCGTTGCGTGGATTCGATCATACAACTGCTGGTCTTCTGACCTTGCAGCACAGAGGCTTCTGCGGTTTAACCCGCAGCGCCACCACGTCCCTTTTTCACTGGGTACCTGGAGCAAATGAGCGAGGAATTACTACAGTCCTGAACTCCATAGGCAGTGCAGTCAAGAACCAGTTCAAAAGCTGTAGTGACTGCATGAAAAAAATCTTACCTTTCTTCCAGCATTCAAACACTTGCCCAAGTTGCTCTTGGAACAGCTATTTTTGGCCCTTAAACCTGTTGCCCAACAACTTTTGCTTAGCTTTTCTTTCTATCCTCACATTCCAACCACCTTCTGACTAGCGTCTTTTGCAGAAACAAGAACCAGTTCAAAAGCTGTAGTGACTGTGTGAAAAAAAATCTTACCTTTCTCCACCTTCTGACTAGCCTCTTTTGCAGAAATAAATAAATACCACATCCCACACAGAAAAGGCTTGCAATGAAAGAGCCCAATAAACATTTCTGGAACTTCTTAGATTACAACCACACCCAAAGACGGCTGAGAAAAGCCTGCGTTTATAGCTGGATCGAGACTGGAGGATAAAATCCCTTCCAAATAACACATGCAGAGATTTATAAATCTGGTTCTCCTTTTAAGCCTTACAGGTTTGAGTAGATCATGTCCAGCCTGAACTATCTCTGGAGGTAAAAATGTTGAAACCGAGGTTGCCCTACTTTGGGCACCATCCTGAGAAGGCAGGATGATCTGGAAAAGACAGTAATGCTGGGAAATGTTGAAAGCAGCAGGAAATTTGAGCAAGGTTGTGAAGGACGGGATATTCCTAAGCTCGCTCATTCATTATGGGTTGCCGTAAGTCGAAGGCAACTTGACAGCACATCAAAACAGTTTGCGTAGAGAGACATGCTAATAAAACTTTAGCTGTTTTTGTGCCAGTATCGAAATTACCTTGTTCTGTAATAATTTGCTCAAGAGATCAGCACAACAGCAGAGCTGCTAAGTAAAGACCTGGCATTTGGGAGTGTTCACTGTTTTTGTGACTCTCTTTCCTTCACGACTATCCGCTCCCAGCCTTACTCAGAACTACTCAAAGCATGCATAATGTCTCAGAGTTTCCCTGGACAGAAGCCACACCACTCAAAATCAATCCGTTTTTTTATTTACAAAAATGTCTGTCTCGAGAAGGAGAGAAAGGTTGGAGTGGAAATGCCACAGCCCTTCTCAGGCAGGGAAAAATACCTGTTCGGCTCTTAAGACTTCCCTCCCATTTGGTTCATAGCAGCAACAGTAGAAGGCCAAAGGAGGAGTGTGGAGAGGGGATAAAGTGGATTTATGTGGACAGATCACAGTGTAAGGGTGTGCTTTCCCCAAACGAAGGCTAATACCGAGAAAGTGGTCGTCGGTCGTTGGTTCATAGCAGCAACAGTAGAAGGCCAGAGGAGTGTGGAGAGGGGATAAAGCGGATTTATGTGGACAGATCACAGTGTAAGGGTGTGCTTTCCCCAAACGAAGGCTAATACCGAGAAAGTGGTCGTCGGTCGGGTTACCCCGTCTGCTGGTGGGACTGGGCAAGTGGTGGTTCACCTTGTGCAAGTAGAAGGGGGTCGCAGAGTGTTTTCAGGATTCGTTGGGCAGTGCTGGAGAACATTTATCCCCTTCCTCCATAAAAATATCCAAGAAGGGAGAGGCCGGCATTTGTACGCCAACTAGGCCAAGGGATGGGCCTGGTGTAATCTGGCAGCCGATCATCAACGGAAGCTTCCCCCAGAGGTGCTTCTGTAATACTGGAGTGGTGCTTATGTGTCAAGGAATCAGGAGTGGTCGTGAAGGGCAAGGTTCAAAAGGAAGGATCACAGACCGGTGACGAACCTAGGAAAGGCTAGAGGGAGGCTAGCCAACTCCAAGGGTGGAAGAGGAGATGGGCTGCGTGGTTTCTACGCGGTTCCTTAAAAATCCCAAATGTGTAAAACACAGCATTTTGGAAGATTGGGGTGGGTGGGATGGATAATAACAGGACCACACACACCCCAACCCACTCCCAGGCTTCGGTAGCAAAAAGAGACCACCCTCCCTAAATTGATCTCGGCATGGCCAGGGGCCGGTCCGTTGTGCTTAGGCGTCACCAAAACGGAAAGAAAAAAACACTCGGAAGCATTTCCACGGCAAAAAAGAAGTCTGTACCACACAGTGCTGGCGATGGGGCTCAGGCCCCCACCCCCCTGCCCACGGTGCTGCCCAAGGGGCTGGCATCCTGGCCCGGGACGACAAGAGGAGCTGGCGGGGGGCTGGAAGGAGGGCCCTCCTTGGCTCCACTTTGCTGATCGCCTGGAGAGCGGTTCCCAATGGCCGCGGTGACCTTGAGGCTAGTGGCAGGGCTGCTTTCTCCAGCAGTACCATTCACCCCCTCCGGCTGGGGACTGGTGGTGCTGGATTGCTGGGGAGGAGCGTAGTTGGTCGTGGCGGGGGTGGCAGCGGCAGCCGCCCCACCGCCGTGGGAGGTCCGCTCCAACCTGCGATGCTTGCGGAGGGAAGAGACAGGAGGCGCCTGCGGAGGGCCCTCCTCCGGGGGAAGCAGGACGTCCCGGATCAGCTCCGTGCAGAGGGCCGTCGCCTGGCGGGTCTCGCGACACAGTTGGGAGAGGCTGAGGAAGCCGTGGGGCAGGTCCTGCACCACGCGCAGGGTCACGGGCTGCCCCAGGGACCGCAGGCGCCGGGCAAACATCACGGAGTCATCCAACATGGGGTCCAGGGCGCAAGCCTAGCAGGAGGCAAGAGGCAAAGCGGGAAGAGTGAGAGACAGCGAGGCTACGGGTCTGCGCGCGCTCGTTGTTCACCTGTACCTCTTGAAACCCCTCGGGGGGGTCAAGCATCCCTTACAGCAGGGCCAGGCAAAGACTTTCCCCCCAGAGGTTTTGGGCCAAGAACTCCCATCGGTCCGCACTATCCTAGCCAATGCTAAAGGATTAGGGAGGGTTGTCATCCAAAAATATCTGGAGGGCCACAGTCACCTGTACCTGCCTAGGTTTTTCGTACTGTATTAATGATCCTTTTAATACTGTATACTGATTTAACTCAAATACAGGATTTTAATTGCTGTAAGCCACCTTGGGCCCTCTTTAAGGAGAAAGGCGGGTTATCAATCAATCAATCAATCAATCAATCAATCAATCAATCAATCAATCAATCAATCAAAACCACTGTTTGGTGAGCGTGTCGGCCAATGAAATAAATAAGCCAGAATAATTCATGGAAAACTGCCATGGGACCAGACATGCTCCCCAGCTGACGCCCAGCCATCTGACCACCATGGCCTGCAGCCCCCGCCCCTGCCCCCCCAACGCCGCCATTGGCTCACCACAATATGGATCGGCGGGAGCCCCTTGAGCATCGCATCCGGGGCCAGAAGAGGAGACATGAATGGATTCTTGAGGATGGGCGACAGCTCCAGGGGCACACAAGTGACTGGCTGGTCGGAGCGCAGGGGCTGGAAGTCGTCAGGAAAGGTCAGGCCGTTGCTGGTGCTGGGGGTGGCCGTCTCGGGCTCGCTGTCTTTCAAGAAGAAGCCCGCCTGGCGTTCTCCGCCGGGCTCCCGGGCCGGGTCTGGCGGGGCGTCGGATGCACGGGACAGATCCTGGTACGTCTGGCTCTTGCGAGAGTCTCTGAAGCTTGTGAGCGACTTGGACTTGAGACCCACCTCGGAGATGCTCTTTCTCACGGCTTCTGCAGGCGAGAGGGCGAGGGGACATGAGTGCTGACACCATTGAGTCACAGCTCCCGGCTCCCACCTTCCTGGGGGCCAGCTCAGTGCGGTTTGGCCCTCCGCCCTTCCCAGCATCCTCCGTTTCCCCAAACCTCTGCTGCCCCCCCTCCCTGCCCAACTCCTTGGGGCTTTGGATCCTGACAGGTCAGCTTTCCGCTCCTGATCTCCAACCACTGCCAGAGCCCCTTTTACGTTCTGCTCTGCTATTTGAAATCCAAGAAGGAACACAGAATGCAGGGCCTCGGCAGAGATGCTCGGAACCCCAAGTAGAAAGTTGGAATCGTGGATCGCAAGGAAAGGTCCTCCTTTCAGAAGGGAGAGCTTTCTGCCCCTCTCCTGGAGAGGACAAGGGTCAGTTGCCCCTGACCTCGATGCTTCACCTCCTGGGCTCCACAGCTCATCACTTCCTCCATTCCTTTCTCCTTCTCTTTCCCAATTCCCAACCGCACAATATCTCCTCCAAATATCCTAACCTAAATAAGGAATGTAGCCTCTCTGTGCAAACTAAATATATTTGGCAATGAAAAGAGAACCAGAACCCCACATGTGGAGTTTTCAGCCATAACCTGTACCCATTCAAAATCTCCCTGTGTTCCACTTACACTCTGAAACAGATCCAACCCCGGGGTATGAAGTGTGTGTCCTTGACACTCCTGGTCATGCTGTGAACGTGTGCTAGGCCCAGCGCTGGACTTTGCCCCATGGCAAACAGCGATGCCAGGCAGCGGAAGCCGGAATTCTTAAGGGATTTGAGAAAGGAAGGAACATGGCCTGAACTGCAAAACCTGGTGAACCCAACAGATTTCTAAAAATGCTAGCTTTCATTCAGATGAATAGAGGGACAGGAGGGGAGGGGAAGCATTTTTTACACCTCAGGCTGTAGCTGTTGAGGCTGTTGGGAGGTGGGAAAGAGTAAGGGGGCACTTCATTTGAAGTCTTCCACATCAGATGTCTGGGGCAGACACAGAGACCACCGGACGTCAGGAAGGAAGAGGTAAACAACAAACACAGTGCACGGGAGACATCATCTCCAAAACCAGGAGAGGTTTCCCCAAACAGAGGGAGGCAGAGAAGACGGTTTCACATGCAGGAGAGGATTCCCTCCATCCACTGCAGGGGAATGGCAAGTTTAGAAACTGGAGGGTTCAGATTGTGCTCACTGTCCTCCCCACCCCCCCCAGCATCTCAGCCAACCTATTCGCAGACTTACTGAAAGAATAAATGAAGGCGAGATTCCACATGCAGACATGGCAAATGTGATGAAACAAAAAACAGGTAGCCCAGCTGCAGAATGTGTACCTCGTGATGAGAAAATATGAAGGGGGGTTTGCACACCTGCCGGTAATGCATCTAGGGAGCACATCTCCAGTTCTTCCTGGAACTGTCATGCAGAGCTTGCAAAACTATGATCCTTAGCCAGCCAGTTTTATTGCAAAACTATGATCCTTAGCCAGCCAGTTTTATTGGTGAGCCCGGCCCAGTGCACATGCCACCAGCCAGTATTAGCTGCAGCGCCCACGCATGAGACCGTGCGGCGAGGAATAGCGATCCCAGTGGCGCAGTTTCATCCCCGTCTCCTTGGCTCAAGCAGAGGGCGCATGCTGTTGTGGACTGGGGGAAGTGGCTCCTACCAGCTGATGGGTTAGTAAGGGACGTGCCCTGGGACCTGAAGTGATGCACCAGGGACAGCATGGAGAACAGCCGGGCCACGGGGCGCCGGGCGTAGCTTTGCAGGCACCCTGAGAAAGAGATGCGCCCTGTAGAGACAAGGTGGGCAAGAGGAAGGCCAGAAAGGATGAGAAATGGGGAAAAGAGGGCAGGGAAGAAATGGGCTGCTCCTTACCCGGCGGTCCTCCCGCCCCATTGCTCTTGCCTGCGTTCTCCATCCATGAGCTGAACAAGGCGGTGGCGCTCAGCCGCAAGTCTCGGAAGAGCAGGGCCGTGTCCCGGCGCACCATGTTCACTGGGCCCAGCTTCTCCAGGGCGGGGTCCTCTGGGGGCTCTGGTTCCATCCCTTGGTGATGGGGCACAAAGATGGGGGGAAAAGGTTCAGCCCAGGAATAACACCACCACCTCCCCTTCCTCCAATCATGATCCAATGACTCATATAGATACTTTCTCTCTCTCGTGATGTTTAGCTGCTATCATTAGATTACAAGCTGTTTTGGATCCCAGTTTCTGGGAGAAAAGGAGACAAATCTAATCAACTCAATAAGCCACGAGATAAAATGCTAGGTGAGAGATTCTGGGAGTTGTAATCCAGAGACGTAATTCTTCCAAGCTCCCTATCCTTCGTCCCCATGCCTGTCACCTCTGGGTTCCCATTGCTCCATGTTGCCTCTCCCTTCTTCCTCAATACTAAACCAAATACTCTCAAATCCAAGTCACTCACGAGTTTCAAAGACTCCCGCAAGAACCGGACGTGCTGGGATCCTGGCCTTGCTTTAGCCTCCACGGCCTAGATCCAGGGGTGCACCCCATTGCTAGATCCTGCTGCTCCTGTTCAAGGGTGGAACTATGGCACGGCAGCAGAACCCACACTGTGCGTGCACACAACCCCACGATCCGACCCCAGACTTTATAGTTAGAGCCCCAGGGAACTCGGCTAATAGAAAGGGTCTCTGTCCAAAACCTAGGAGAGCTACACGGATCAACAGGGGCAGACTGACAAGTTCCAGCCTAAAAATAGGGAACAAAAGAGCAACAAAACAGGTGCTAGAAGAGATCTCTCTCGCTGCGTAATCTGCTAAAATGTCGTCATGTGTTCACACCCTCAAAAGGTCCTCTCATTTACAGCCCTGCACGGCTCTTGCAAACTTAAGGCTGTGGCTTCCTTTACCAAGATCTTTCTATTTTCCTACTGCCTTCAAATTGTCCTAGCATTACTGTCTTTTCCTGTGAGTCTTCTCTTCTCTTGATACATCCAGAGGTAGCCTATGATTGCCCCGAGAAACAAACTACAGTGGCCATCACCAGTCAACAACAACAAAAAAGTCTTGTGGCATCTTGAGGACTAGCACCTTTTATCCCCATTCATGTTTCCCACTTGTTACCCTGAGATCCCCTCACCAGCATAGGCACTGAGGCACTTGTACAAGACACTCAGAGGCAGCAGCGGATCGAGCAGGGTGAGAAGGCGGGAGGGCGAGGCGGAAGCTTGCATGAGCGTGGCTGGGTACGCCGCCATGATCCCGTCTGGCATCTTGATCCCAAACGCGGCTGCTCGCATAGACACTGTGATGCATAGATTCCCGCCGGCACTGTCTCCTGCCAGGCATACTTTTTGTGCGGTGGAGCCTGCCAAGGGGTGAAAAGAGGCAATGTGAAGCCGCGCAAGAGAGCACAGGGTTCAAAATCCAAAGTCCCAATGCCTCGAAATCCCAGGCTCTGGGGACAAATGAGGCCACCGCTTGGGAAAAAGGTATTTTTAGGTATTACAGGCTGGCAGAGGGATTCTGGCCTCGTGAAAGGAACTTTTCCAAGTTCTGGCCAAGGAGCATCTGGTAGCTACTTTTGTTGTTATTTAATCATGTCCGACTCTTCGTGACCCCATGGACCAGAGCACGCCAGGCCCTCCTGAGGAGAAATGTAAATTCTTGCTCTGATCCAACTAGGAAAATCATCTTCTTTCTGCCTGGATGATGGCACCATGATTAAAAAAATAACAGGTACTTCATGGCTCTTTCTAAGGGTTTAAAAATGGTGTGAGAACAGATCTCAGCCCTGTGGATGGTTCTCCTCAGAAGCACAGGAGGGAAAGAGACCCCAGGATACAGAAAGGGGTGCAAACCCCCTCAGAACGAGTGAAACATTCAGAAGGAGGTCTTAGCAGGACTCTCGCCTCATACGCAACAGCCAGGCTCCTGAGGCTAATGTCTGAGAGAAAAAGCGGACGGTTGGCACGCAGAAGGGAGGAGGGCTCCTCAGTCTTGAGGATCTGCTGCCCGGATCATACCGGCATTTGATTCAGCAGAAGGCAGCTCCAGACACCCAACCCACAACAGCCTGAGGGGCAGGTCTTTCTCTCAAAGGAGGATCAGGACCGAGACCCGCTCTCCCCCTAACCACCCTGCATCTCCTGTGCCTCACCCAGTAAGTGGCAGTTCTTGAGGGCCCAGCAGTAGGCATAGAAACACTCCTCCAAAGCCCGAGGAAAGGGGGCCTCGGGCGCCAACGAATAGTCAATGGAGAGGATGGGGGCGCCCAGTTCCTGAGCCCAGGCTTTCAGATAGGGCTCGTGCGACTTCGAGGTCTGAGCCACGAAGCCCCCTCCGTGGAAATGCACAACCAGGTAAGGGGAGCGAGGCAGGGGCTTCGTCCTCCAGCGCAGCTCCAAGGCCAGGGGACCTTCCGGGCGCAGCAGATTGCAAAGCTCTTCACTCTCCTGGAAACGGGAAAAGAAGAACAGGCAGAGAATGCAGTACCAGGCGTTTGAGATGCAAAAGGACCCAGCAGGTGTCCACCAGCCTCTCCTGGTAGCATCAGCGTCTGGGACTGGGTCTCCTTGAGGGCATCCTAGACAAATAAAACCATCAGGGCTTCGTCCTCCAGCGCAGCTCCAAGGCCAGGGGACCTTCCGGGCGCAGCAGATTGCAAAGCTCTTCACTCTCCTGGAAACGGGAAAAGAAGAACAGGCAGAGAATGCAGTACCAGGCGTTTGAGATGCAAAAGGACCCAACAGGCGTCCACTAGCCTCTCCTGGCAGCATCAGCGTCTGGGGCTGGGTCTCCTTGAGGGTGTCCTAGACAAACAAAACCATCATTTTTTTTGGACTGTATCACTCCAGACTGCAAGTGGCAGACCTACAGGATTGAATGGCTTTATGTTAAAGAATTTGTGTCCAGGTTTTTTTTTGAAGGACTGATATCTTGCCCATCTATGCCTGTAAGTCTACAAAGAACCATGGGTTTCCTGGTCTTCCCTCCTGCCCAATCAGTTGCTTTCTATCCCCTCATTGGAGGTAAACCATCGTTTACTGTTTCATCTACAACAAACTGTGGTTTGCTCTTGCCCTGGAAGAATGTAACAGATACAGCAAGTGCAGAAGGGAGAGTGAACGAGGAAGTACATACGTCTGACATAGGGCACCCCCTCTGATTGGCATCACTACCGAAAAATTACACGTTTAAAATAAGGATATGCTACATATGTTAAAAACAGAGCTTGGGGAAAAAATCTTTTGGGATAACAACTCCTAGAAACTCTCAACCACCAAGGTTTTAACTTTTCCAAGCTCTTATTAAAAACATCCTGTGGCTTATGGTGAATGGAATGGAAACAACAGCAGATGGACACCATTAAAATCAATAAAGTAGCAGCAATCAGAATTAACAGGCCTTTTAAAAAAAATGAGAAAGTTAGCAGAGAGCACTTTTTGTTGGTAACTGGCTTCCCAGGCTGATTGTTCAAACTATTCTTATTGGTAAGGTTGTCCAGGTATTATCTTAAGACGTGACGAGACTGTTTGTCTAGAAAGCGATTTCACAGCTAAAGTCCAGTGTTCAGTGTGTGATTTAAGGCAACCCTCTCTGCTGTGGGCAAGGGCAATCAAGACCTCATGCCACCCCATCAGCGTTCTCGGCCTCTCACCTGCCCCTCACGCAGCTCATGGGAGATGAGCCTCATGTGAACCGGTCCAGGTCCCGTGTGAGCCACCGGGGGTGTGATGGTCACTGTCAGCTTGGGGTCAGCAACCAGAGGCAGATCAAAGGAATGAGGGGGCACCGACAGGGCCCGAGAGAGCCGGACCTGGGAGGAGGTCATGCTGGCCAAGGACTGCAAGAGAGGGCAAGAGACAGCGTGAGCTTTTCTGAAACAAACATCAAAAACACAGCCTGCCTTTCTTCCCCCTCCCTGTCCCTTCAAGAAATGTTCAGAGCACAGGGCCCCTACAGGGTTTAGACCCATAGCAACCACCACCTCAGCCCCTGGAGCAGTGCTTTCCCATCTTACATCCGATGGCGTTGTATTCTTATCAACACGAGAGATGGGGGAAACTGGGGTGGTTTTTTTTTTGGGTGGGAGAACAGTACCTCCCGAAATTTGCTGGCCAGCATGGTTTGGGGGGCAGGATTCTGGGAACAGTCCCACCCTCCTTCCTAACTCTGTAGATTATGTGTCTCTCCTTCTTTATCTCTAATTTCTTTCGTCATCATCATAGTCTTATAGCATGACAATCCAGGCCACACTTTCTTGGCCACACACACACTCTGCTGCCCTCTCATTCCTCCACAATGTGATCCCCTTTGGAAGAGGTACAACCCCCTCCCACCCCACAAGCCTCTTCCCTGGGCAGTTCCCAGGCTCTGCAGGCTTCCAGTCAGGTAGGACTCACCGCCAGCAATTCCATCTCAGTCAGGTTCCAGAAGCTTTTCCAGAAATGCACATCAAGATTTTGAGTGATGCGCTCAAACTCAACGCCACGCAGTTCTGGGTCAATGGCAAATTTCCCACTGGTGAAAAGGGAGCCGGCGGCCACACCTGGACAACAGAGGAGGCAAGACAAAGATGTTAAGGGGGGGGTTAGGGTGGCTAGTCACGGCACAGAGTTGAGTCTATGGCTTTAGATTCAGAGAAGGAACGGCCATTGACATTTACGCTTCCCACTTTGGGAACCATTAAAGACCATCTCAGCACGAAACACAAAATGAAAGGAAAAAAATGTGGCACTTTTTAGTTTTTATTCTAATGCAAACTTTTATGGAATATCAGCCACTTCTTCAGACATATGAGGTTAAATACAGAAATTACACAATAAAATGTTCATGTCAGGCTCGTAGAGACAGGGGTATCCTTTTGTGTTTCTTGCTGAAATGCTTGCACAGACTAGCATCACGACAACTCTGAAATAAAAAAACATGGAAGCAGTGCCATATGATTGTAAGAAAAATCCATCACTGATCATGGATAGCAATTGCAGTAGTATTACTATTATTAATACTGTTATTACTGACATTTCTACTCCTCTTTTCCACTTCTAGGTAGGCTTACGGAGCAGCTACAACCATTATAAAATACAACACAAACAAGCTGGTAGAAACAAATTCAACAACAGGGTTATTAAAATCAGTGACCAAAGCCAAATACATACAGAAGAACCATTAAAATGAATTAAGTCACAGACAGTTAAAATATATTTGCGACTGCTGACAGCGAAGTTCTTTAGACTCTCTGCTGTGAAAGAACGCACCCTGGAATTACTGTACACAAAGACAGTGCGGCATTAATGCTTACACAGAACATGTACTCATTCCTGACTCAAAGCAAGCAGCCTCCACAAATATTTCATGGAAAGCTGTAAACCTAGCTATTGTATTTAGCCAAGGGTTTTACGGTCTGGCGTTCAGCATAATGTAATTATATTGCGGCGTAAGCTGCATTGTGAAACAAAGGCAGCCACACCAAAATATATTCATCTTACAATTCCTGTTGCATGCCTCCAGCAACCTTCTCTGCTCTTGGACCCATATGCCTTAGGCTTTAAGAAGCCCCCAGTTTTAAAACACGCCACTTTATTTATACACAGTGCGACAAAAGTGACATTGGCCCTCGTTGGCCAGTAGCGTGGAAAGAAAAGTCGTCAAAACAGCCCCGCAAGACCAAGAAGGACATCATGAAATAAAAGGCTCATCGCTAATGTGCTGAGATTGGGCCAAGGCCCTGCTACTCACCAAGGCCAGAAACGTGACGTTTGTAGTTTTCCCCAAAAGAAACGAGGCTGATGGCGATGGTCTGCAGGAAGGGTCGGATCGAGGGAGCAAACTGTGAGGCGAGAGGTCACCGTTAAGGCCGGCCAGGCTGGCATTGACATGCGTTTCCCCAGTGCTAACCAGGGCTCTCCATAACAACAAGAAAGGAGAGTTAGCTGAGAAAACGGATTCATAGCCTGGATTAACAGATGGGGCTGAGAAAGGCCCTGGGTTTGACAACTAGGCTATATGAGCGAAGATGACAAAGCCAACATCTTTCCAGTGCAGTGTGGAGAGAGAACAGGATGCCGGTTACTCAAAGCAGGGAAGAGCAGGAGAGACATGATCGCTCCAGCATCCCTCCTAGCAAGGCCTTTGGGTCGAGACCAGCGAGAGGGTCTGGGGCTGCCCCACTGAGGTCCAAATTCAGCCAGGAAACTCATGTCCTTTGAGAGTGGAGCCCGGGCTGGGCGAGATTCCTATCAGGAAAGCTCCCGGAAGTTGGACGATGGCATTACACGCTGCTGAAGGCCAAAATACCGAGGCCATAGCTTATGTGGAAATGTGGAAAAAGACGAGGTGATGGCCAGGGCACAAATTCTGTTACACAGAGGCCCTGAGTAAGAGCTCTGACAAACCTGCCTGATGAGCTGTTTCGGGATAAGCTATGCTTTGAGGAAAGGAGGGCAGGAAAGGGCCACCCAACTGGGAGAATATGGGGTGGAAATTCAGTTTCCTGTAAAGAAGACCAAGGTCCCTGGAGGCAAATGCATTTGCCTTTTGCTGACATGCTTCAGGCTCTCTTGATGTTTATCTCTGTGTGATTACTTATTTACGTGGCACCACGGCAGTATCAAAATCAAATACATAATGGAAGAACCTAAGTCAAACAGAGGACCCCAGCCAAAGGAAAATGCACAGTCTAAATAGTTGTAGAGCGATTGGGGACGAGAAGGAAGGAAGGAATGCAAGCTATGCAGTTGGAAATCATGGAAACTAAAGAGCTTATGGAAAAAGTGCCATGGATTAGGTTTGAAACCAGGATTTGAGGAGAAGAGGGGCACGAAGCAAGAGCTCAACACCTAAAAAAACAATTACTCTTTCAGATATCTCAGCCATCCTGGCTTGACCTTAGGGAAGTCACTCCTCTGAACGACAGATCCCAGAATCCATGCTGGCTAGAGGATACAGGATTCGTAGCCCCAAAAGAGAATTTCCAAACCAAGCCCCAACCTTTCCAGATACAGACTGCGAGCCTTAAGAGGAAGGAGGTCCCTTGATGACATCAAAGCGAAGACACACACATGGATGCTCCCGGGAGCCACATGGAAAATAACTTTTAAAAGGTTGATTCAAGATCTGGAAAGCATCCTCCCCCCCCCATCTCTGTGCTGGCTAAGCCCTCCGCTTGTTCCAACGTCTGCCCCCTCCCAAAAAGAAAGCACCCACCCAGAGATCCTCACCTGGAAGCCCATGCAGCGGCCATAGAAGCAGCCCTTGCGCATGGTGATGTACTCTTGGAGAAACTGGACCGAGAGCCCATTGTCCTCGAGGTTGAAGAGACAGCCGGGCTGGTTCTGGGTCAGGAGCTGCTGGGCGAGGTAGACCAGGGCACGGAGCTGAGTCAAGGCCGTACAGTACGCTTCCAGCTCGGCGCAGTTGTGGCTGGTGCGGAAGAAGATGCTGCGGCGGTTGGCGGCCACGTAGCGGCTCTTGTGCACAATGTGGGCCAGGCAGCAGCGCACCGTCTGAGCCAGGCTGCGGTAGCCGTTGGCCGCCGTGTGCTCGTCCAAGTCGAAGATGTGGTAGACGGTGGCAAAGTGGTTGAGCACCGGCTCCAGGCGCCGGGCGTGCTCCCGGATGGCGGTGAAAGCCGCCAGGAAGCGCTGCCCCGTCTCCGTGGTGCTGTCCCGGAAGAAGGCGATGTTGTCTTCGGCCAGGAGGTAGAGAGTCTGGAACAGGGGCCGGGAATCCATGGCGCCGGCCGGAGGGGGCCCTGCGGAAGGGAAAGACGAGTCAGGGAGGCCAGAGGGACCCATTGCCACAGAGAGGGAGAGAGTGAAAGGACCCTTTAAAAATAAGGATGGTGGAAGGGCACCCTTTCCAAGCCATTTTGGCTGTTCCCAAATTCTTTCCCCTGGAGGAAAAAAAGAATCATTTTCAACACCTGGAAATCTGGGCTTTGCAATAAAAGGGCACACGAGGCCACCCCAAAACCTTCCAACAGCTTGAAATCCACAAAAATGGAACCAGAAACTGACTTCTGATTTTGTTCTAATTTTTGAAACCTGGTCTGACCCCTGGGGGGGGGGCGGCCTTGGGAGATCGAAACCTGGCCCTCTGACCTTCCAGAGCTGGAAGTTGTTTTAAAACAAGACAGGCTGGGATGGAATAGCCTCTGCGGAAACTCTCGAACCCCCGACTCACACTCCCTTCTCCCTGCTTCCCCCTGCTGCCCTTCTCTTCTCTCTGCGCCAAGGAAAAGCCTATGAAAACAGACTGAGCATTGTTTAACACGTGCACTGCCTTTAGAATAACCAGGTCTTTGTATTCTGCCCCATTCTTCCAATATTCCAAGTGCTCTAACACGACCAAGAAATGTGACCCGGGAAGAGTCTACGAAGGTAAGGAACCAGGTTTTCTCCTTATAGATGGACCTGGAATATAAGACAAGAGGTTACCTTAATCTTAGGGACAGGAGAAAGTTATTTTTTATCTCCCAGGAGTTGTGCTGGCCAGGGGACTCTGGCAACTGTAACACGAACAAGTAATTCTTCTGATCGCTGCCCTCTTATGGGGTCGTAATTTTTTCCTAAGTAAGTGCATGATCGGGGTGGGTCTAGTCCTTACATGAAATAATTGCCTGTTATCAAGTCGATTCTGACTAATAACAACCGTTTTCAGGGTTTTCTGGGTACTCAGAGGTGGTTTACTCTTCTCTTCTTCTGGGGGGTAGCCCTGGGACTGTGCAGCTGGCCCAAGGCTACCCAGGCTGGTTCTTCCCCCAGGAGACACAGTGCAGGAACCGAATTTCCAACCTCTGGCTCTGCAGCGGGATACCTAACTCGCTGAGTTATCCAGCCAGCCCGCAGGAGAAAAATTTCCATGCAAAGGCCACACATCATACCGATAATCATCCTTTATGTACAGCTCTTCCTGTGACTTTTGTGCACCTTGTGTGCACGCCCTCCATAATCCTCAAAACAGACCAGCATTATCACCCGTACGCGGCACAGCAGGCAGAGAGAAAAATGAATGTGGGGCAGGAAATAAGAAACAGGCGGGGGGCTTCCTTAACTTGCAGCTGACCCCCTTTGCTGTCTTGCTACGCTCAGTCCCCCAAAGTTCCCCTTTGGTATGGGAGGAGGGCTTCCGGGGGGCCGATGGAAACAGACAGTACTCACCCGCAAGTGGCTAGCGACTGTGAACTGCTGGGTGTTGTTTGGGAGTCCTCTTATGATCACGGGCTGCTTGCCCAACCTGCTGGCTTAAAAGACAGCTGGCCGGGGACACTGACAAGCTGACTCCGCCTTAGAGGAAGAGACAGCCCGCTTTCGGGAGGGGACAGAGAATAAATTTGCTCTCGAGGTTCGTGCTATGCGGACAAAAGTAGGGGAAAGAGCTGGGAGGGATACCAAAGCTAGGTTGGATCCATCCTCACCCATCTCTGTGTTAAGTCCTCTTTCCGAGAAATCCTCCCTCTCTAGAGTCCTGGGATTCTGGGGCACCGGATCAAAACTCGGCTTCCAGCTGGCTCCTAAATCCCAGGGCTGGAAATGCACGATGCATGCGTGCCTGTGTTTATGCAAGCAGAAATCTGGGGAAGGTGGAAGAAGATTCGCTGTTTAGCTTTCCTTTCTGTCCCGTCTTTCTAACTTTCGGGAATGCAAAGGACCGACCTAGGGAAAAGGATTTTGAAGGGAGATTTGAGCCAGGAAAGGTGCCAGTGGCAACAGGTTAAGACAGGATAGCAGAGAAATAAATTAGGAATAAATTAAATCCTCTGCCGGTAGGCAGTTCCCAAAAACAGTACTTAAACATGCCAACTTGTTTCTCCTGTACAGTTCATAAACCCTTCTAATTTATTCATGCCATTTGTTTCTAACGAAAGGTAAGGTTCCAGCATTTCTTCTCCCTGTCAAGCTCAGAGGTTTAGGCATCTGGCTGCAGAGCGAGAGGTTGGGAGTTTGATTCCCCACTGGGCCTTCTTGACAGGTAGGGGCTAGACTCGATGATCCATAGGGTCCCTTCCAGTTCTGTAGTTCTAAACTATCCTCTGTACCATGTCATCTGCAAAATAAATAGAGCAGTTTAGATTCCCAGATTATGGCCCAGAGCCTGAGAGAATTGCTTTTGGAGGACTACAACTTGCCAGATCTACCAGCTGGCACAGCTACTGCCCACAACGGCTGGAGAATTCTGGAAACTGTAGTCCCCGATTGTTCCCCTGCCTCACATATACCATATAACAGTGGTGCCTTGCTAGACGATTGCCTCGCAGGACGGAAAACCCGCAAGACAATTGTTTTTTGCTATCACTATGGTGCCTCGCAAGACATTTTTTCTATGACTGTGCTTTGCAAGACGTTTTTTTTTTTTTGAGACCGATGCTTCGCAAGACTTTTTTTTTTGAGACCGATGCATAGGGAACCGCGCAAGACGATTTTTTCACGACGATTTTTGCTGAACAAATTAAAATCGTCTTGCGAGGCACCACTGTACTAAATTTTATCTGATATGGCAAGAACTGGGCTGGTCGCTTCCATTGAAATAAGTCAACTGGCTAGCATCAGAACAACAACAGAAGTGTCGCCTTTTCTCACAGATGGCAGTGAGCCTGAGCTGTTGATGAGAACTTTTTTGACTATGTTTTCCAAGAGCGATCAAGTTTGCCCCACGAGCTGTCTCATGTCCTCCTCCTCGGGATTAGCCTTTGCACAGAGCACAAGTTGATGTTGTTGCTTCTGGACAAGGGGTAAAATTCAGATTAACTGATTCAGAAATCCCATATTAAGCAATTTGGGAGGTGGACCTGGGAGATTTTTAAATAGTTGGCGTTCCCATCTGGGTCACATACCATTCCAAGGTGCGTCATGCCAGCAGCACTTCCAAATTTTGCTTTTAAAATAACCCACACAAGACAGGGGGAGAATTGGGGCTGGTGTGGGAAGACAGTTCCATGTTGAAGGTGGGCTTTGAAGTGAAAGGGTAGCAATTAAATAGTCCATTCCTCCTTACAAAGGAGAATGTCCCTGCATCATTTCTTTCACAAAGCAGCCCTGATGGGGTTTACTTTCCTTTCAGTTATTCAAATATATCATTTCTTTCTTTCTTTCTTTCTTTCTTTCTTTCTTTCTTTCTTTCTTTCTTTCTTTCTTTCTTTCTTTCTTTCTTTCTTTCTTTCTTTCTCTTTCTTTCTTTCTTTCTTTCTTTCTTTCTTTCTTTCTACTTATACCCCACCTTTCTACAATAAAGAAGCCCAAGACATCTTATAATATATATAACAGTAACATGTACAATTAAAAATTGCAATAAATTACAATATAAAAACAATTAAACATTTTATGCATTGAAACTATTAAATAAAAGCAATTTTTAAAAAAATCACATTGAAAAGGATAAAAAGGGAAAACATCTGCCATTTAAAAAAACCCCCTCCTTTGGCTAGCAGCTACTTATAATTGCATATCTTGAGGCAAAGCAATTTGTCTGCAGGTAGAAAGATATCTAAGCTCCTGTAGAAGGGAGTGCCACCGGAGCATTTTAAAACCTCAACCAAATGCTGCCATTTTCTGTGTCACTTCTGCACAGAAACACTTCCCAAGAGTGGTCGCCAGACCAGATAGGCGAGATATAAATAAAATGAATAAATAAGTAAATAAAATAAGTTCTTCCTTCTGCTCCATTCCTCTATTAGCCATATACTACCAACAACAACCATAATGATGTTAAGTTTGGCATCAAAACACATTCTTCAAAATCCACACATAGGCCAGGAAGGCAGATGCAAAGATCAATAAAGAGTTCTAATAACAGGACTCAGAAACGTTACCTTTTCTGGATTTTACTTCTCAGCCTAGGGGATTCTGGGAATTGAAGTCCAAAACGTAACCCTTCTGAGTTTTGATCAATTTTATATTAGGCTTGTCCTTCCACCCACCCCCCTTCTTCTCCAAAGTCATATTCTATTATTCTTGGCCAGGGTGGATTTGATTTAAATCAAATTAAAATAGATTTGGCTTAAATCAAACTTATTTAAATCATGATTTAAGTTTTTTTTTAAAGGATTTTTTAAATGACTTAAACAAAAAAACCCTGATTTTTAAAAATTAAATTGCGATTTAAATCTATTTGATTTTTTTAAAAAAAATCCTTTATTTCCACCCCCAAAAAATACTCCTGGCTTTTTCATGCACTGGACAGAGAGGATGGGACTTCTTTGTCATCGTGTTTAATGTCGGAACTCACTGCATAGGTCACACAGTTGTCATCACAAAGAACGCACCGACAGCTCTATTCAAGAGTGAACTGAACAACCACAGTTTTCTCCTGATTTTTTTCCCATGAACTGTAAGATACCATAGAATGGCCGGTCAGGGCATCCACTGAAGACCAACGCAAGTTCTCGGACATCATGGACTCTTCACATCAAACAAGCAGTATAGCATGCTAAAGGGAGCATCCACCGGGCAAAACTATTTATTTGGCTTTCATTTGGCTTAAATAGACTGTTCCTGGTGGTTTGACTAAATGCCGAATCCCAACTCTATGAGAGGCAAGGCCATGTTAACTGGGCAGCCTTCCCTCCACCAGCTCAAGAGAAAGTCTTCAAGTTTCAAAAAAGCAGAAAGGGAAAAGGAGCCAGCCCCCCACCCCAATTGCCTGTGACTGTCCTCCCTTTTAAAGAGATGGACCATAAAATTCCAAATTATCAGCTGAGGAAGAGCTTGAAACCAACATGCATGCTGCAGCGCCTTCCCTCTAAGAAGCTGCCCTGCCTCTACACCGTCGGCCGTGTGAATATGGGACATTAAAAACAGGACGTAAGGTCCAAATTATCAGCTGAGGAAGAGCTTGAAACCGACATGCATGCAGCAGCGCCTTCCCTCTAAGAAGCTGACCTGGCCTCTACTACACCATCGGCCGTGTGAATATGGGACATTAAGAACAGGACGTAAGGTCGGAACTGCCCAGAAGAATTTGATGCACAGCCTTGAAGAAGAAGATTTATCATGGAAAGCTCTCTGTTTGTCTTTTGTTTTCTATTCTGAACGTTCCACGAAAGGGACCGCTCGCTGCTGCATTTGCACAATCCGCACGGTTTAACCTCATGCCCAATTATCTCCCCAGGATCATCCCGGCAAGCTTTCCCCAGGGGTGGAGTTTGGTACCGGCTGAGTCACTCTTTCGGCAGCCGGAAAACAAAGCAACTTTGGAGCCGAGGGATGGGGCGATTGAAAAAAAGCAAAACTTTCCCAGATGAGGCCGGGTTAGGGCAAGGGGTACGGGCAGCAAAGGGGGCGCAGGGACATTACCCCAAATGCCAAGAAAAGAGTAAACAAGGGACTGGGAGAGAGGGCAGGGAACATCTTTATAGCTCAATCAGTCATAAACAGGAGAAGGGTGGGTGGTGGTGGGGTCTGAGTCAACCCTTTCCCCTCTTCCCGACAGCTTTGAGCATAAAACCTTTGACCTCCACTGTGGACAGAGGAGGGGGGAAAGGAAAGCGAGCGCACCACCCACCGATCGCCTGTTCAGGGATCAGTGTCAGAGGCCAGGCCTCTGCATCACGCCATAGCCCTCGGCTCCAGGATTGGTGGAGGGCAGCTTTGCATCTTCTCTGAGCCCACCTGCCAGGTGCCTCACTCCAAAGGTGTTTCGGCGATGACGACGATGATGCTTCGTCGTCCAGCAAACAACCAAACGAACACAGGGACAGGAGGAAAGCAAACGTCTCATGTGCCTTGGTCTCGGGGCTAATGCCCACTAGAATCAAGATTATCACATGACATGTGACAAGGAGCTGGAGGCTAGCCGTGCCAGGCACATCGCAGACAGATCGCTCTTTGTGGCCGCCGAAGGAGATGCCAACCTCCTTCTGTACCCCTTGGCGAGAACGACAAAACTCTGGAGACAGGGACACGGAGGACTGTCCATGAGAGATTGCGCTAGGAGGGGAAGCCTTCCGTTCCGGTGGAACGTCTGCCTCGTGAATTGGCCACCTCAGGTCTTCCCTGCCGCTTAACGAAGGCTTCCTTTTTGTTCAACTGTTGTTGAGAGAAAGGAGTGATCATGGTTGTGACAGCCTAGAATTTGCTTGACACATGATACGCGTTCAACCCGGCAAGCCCTTCAGGAGACGCTGATGGGCATGTTTTTATTGAATGAACTACGGGGCCTAAGAATAGAACTAAAGAACACAGAGACAATTATGCACCCACACCCTTGAGTTACGACAAGTAGGAACGTGATATTTTTTTAAAAACTGCTCAGTCTCTTGAGAGTAGGGCAATGCAAAACATGCTAATAACAATACTCTTAGAACTGCAGAGCCGGAAGGGGTCCTGTGGACCAGCCCTTGTCAAGTCCATCATTTTAGCAATCCCTGTAACAGTTCCGTAAAGTGGATTACTGAAAGAAGATCACGTTTCCGACCCTCATGGTTCTGGTAGGGGAAGAAGGTGGACAAAAAAAATCTGAAGGATATAAGCCAGTTAGCCTTAGAATAATGCCATTTCTCATGTTCCAGAAGCCTAGTGACATAAAGATGTTCTTCAGGGCAAGAAGAATTCATAGCCATTCTACGTTGAATGAATTCAGATAATAAGAACTTTTAAAGAGGGCTGAGCATGTACTGAGCCACAAGGTGTTCAGTGATGAAAAAGGGGGGGGGGAACAAATCCAATTAAAATTATCATTTTATCCGAGAGCTCAAGGATATGGAAAGATAGTTCATTAAAAAGCAATGAGAAGTGACAGCTCGGTGGA